GCGTTGCGCTGACAACAGCCACGTGCAGCTGTGGGCCCCCGGGCGTATACGCAATATTTGTAGTTTTTTATTGCACCTTCTCTGGGCTTGGTTGTGTGTTCCACTGCCGCTGTATGTCTATAAAATCCGGCTTAAGCCGCATGCTACCTGCGAAATGTATGAAATTTTTGCTGCCACTCAACACTCACACACACACTCACGCACAGCAAACGACAATGCAGAATAAACACACACTCGGGAGGTAACACACTGGGAATTATATAAAAAAAATTGTGATATTTAAAATTTATTTATTTAGTGTTAAATATTCAAAGGTTTCAAAAAATGATTAAAATATAAAGATTATAAAACGATCAATTCATTAAAAATATATGAAAGCCTTTAGATATTTTTAAATTAATCTACATATACTTAAGATTTTAGAAATATAAACTAGACAAGTTTAATTTGTAAACTTTAACAGTTAATAGAAAAATTTAGTCAACGTATATACGTACAATAAATATATTTAATATATTTTTAATATATTTTTCAAATTTGTATTTTTTTTCTGTGTAAATTCAGCAAAAAAACAGAAAGGGGAACGCATTTTTGCCAGCAGCTTTGACTGCTGTTGCTGCTGCCTGTGGCTTTGCCGGCGGCTTGGGACGCTGGTAAACACTCAAATCCAATTAAATTTAATACGACTTACTTGGCTTTGTTGCAGGTGCATGTGTGACAGAGACGGGACCAGCGAACAAGGGAGACAGATATACATAAACCTAAAGAGAAGGGGAAAAGACAGAAGAACGTGTGCCGTTTGTTTGGCATTTGGTTGCTCTCGTTCTGGGTTTTTTTGTCGCCTTTTTTCACTTTTTTCATTCACAGGTTGTTTTCGTTTTAGCCTCTTTTGTGTTTTCCCTTTTTATACCCTTTTTATCCATTTTCTTTGCTCTTTTTCTCCGATTTTAACCGGTAGCTGTAGAGTATTTAGTACTCTTGAGTTTAATTATTTAAAAATCTTAAAAACAAAATAAAAACTAAAATAACATAACAAAAATTTTAAAGAAAAAATGAAATTTTTAAATTTAGTTGTAGTGAATTTATAAATAATTTAACAGGTATCTTTGTAGTCGACACACTTTCCCATTTGCTTTGTAATGATTTTTACAGAGTGTGCTTTTGCTCGGTTTACCTGAAACGCTTAGGCTTTGGCTTAATTAAAGCCACATTTGCCAAATAAAATATATACCCAAGCAAATGAGCTTAAGAGAGCTAATTGAGTTTTGTCAACGAGACGGGGAGAATCTGCGGTTCCTCTCCGGCAGATTGGAGATCTCGATAAACTGAACTCACCGTAAACAGGCTAAGAGAAGAGGCTACAAAAAAAAAATCAATTAAAATCGCTTGCCACTGTCAATGAACGATGCACTGCAATCCGGTCTCCGGTCCGATTTGTTCAGTTTGAAAGGGGTTATCCGAACTGGGAATTCTTTCCGGTTGTCGTAGGACAGGGTGCAGCTGGCATTTATAAATATGCATGAGCTGAGCAAGTGTGTGCCGCAATCTATGTCAAATGCAAAACAAAGTCCTCGAAATCCGATTCATTCGAGGTGTTGTCAGTCGAGTATTTTTTTGCACAAAATCTACTGGTTAGAACCAGGTTTCTTTACAGCTAAAAAGATTTATTTGGAGTGAAAAAACTTTAAAAGAAAAATGACTAAAAATATCAAAAGAAAAAGCTTTATGTTTCCGTATATAATTATTTTTTAATCATGTTTTGATTGTGTGTTTGGGGAGATCAAAAATATACTAATGTCATTCCCATATAAATTTAATCTTTACTTTATTTTAAGAATTTCTTAATTACAAATTCTCTTAGATTTCTTTTTCTTTTCTTTTAGAATTTCCTATCCCAATCCCCTTAAACTGTCCAGGGTGCGGGAGCCAACTTTCGCCCCTAAAGTTGGCTTGACTTCTCTAGTCTTCAGGCGAGTTTCTTTCCGCAGATCCAAATCAGGATAATCATAGGCGGTAAATTGGGCTAGCAAAAGCGGCAGGATCAGGATCAAACAGAGTGCAGTAAAAAGGCGTTTCATCTTAAAGCGGTCAAGAGACTTAACTAACTGAAAATCGAACTGCGAATCGGCCTTATATACACCCCGGGTGTACTCACGGACAAAGCACAGCTGCCTGGCCAGCTTAACTTTTGAATTTAAGTGGAAATTCAAAAGGCGGAGAGACACTATATATTGCGGAGTGGATTTCCGGCGGGCAATTAAGAAAATTGGCCAAGACAACAAAGTGTAATAGCCAGCAACGACTACATAATAGATTGTAAATATTTGACACCTGCCGCCACCCACTTAACCCCAACCCCGTCGAGCTGTGGCCTTAATCCAAACGCAAAACAATGCCAACCATTAACTCCGCTTCAACTTCTACCCTCCAAGTTCGTCCAATTACTTTTTGCACGATTTGATTTTACATTTAACGATTTTTCGCACTTAATTAGAAGCCAGTGTCGATGTCAGTCGCAGGCAGGAAGGCAGGAAGGCAGGAAGGCAGCCAGGGGTTGCCATGATTTGATTAAATGTGAAGATGAATTTTAATTAAAATCCTCCCCAAGCCATTGGCTTCCTTTCATTTCCCTGCTCTCCTCCAACCCTTTTTGGATTTTGCGGCCAAGTTTTTGACACTCAACACTTTTCCCCGGGCACACCATCAACCCCTTCTTGATCTAATAGAGCAATAAAAGCCGCAAGTTCATGCCGGGCTTAGTCATCGTAATTTATGCAAAATGAAAATTAAAGATCCACAGCGCAAAAGTTTTAAATGCAAATGACAGACTAATGAATTCCCAAGAACTACTTACAAGCAATTTGGCTAAAAATGCGGCTGTTTTGTCCATCAATTTCGATTAATGCTTTTTAAAAGCTCTGACTGTGATCAATCCTCTTGCGAATGGCAAATAATTTGGCATAATTCTCCCTTAAAAATTGTTGGCGTGACAAACAATGACGCTTTGTCCAGGCAAAAATAAAAGCCAGCTGGAAGACTTCAGCTAAAGTTATTTTGAAAACCGAAAAAGTAAATACAAAGGAAAACAAATACAAGCCAGCTAACGCATATACACTCATACAGAGAATTGTTTTTGTTTTTGGCAGTCACATGCAGTCCACAAAAAACAAAAAAAAAAACAAGTACGGCAAGTAAATTGAAGGCAACAGGTCGAATACTTGATGCACTTTGTCAGTTCATTTTGGAAATTAATGTTTATGCATATTGATCTTGAAGTAAAATATAACAATTAGTCTTATATATTAGTCCTGTAATTATGAATTTATAAATAAATATTATAGCTTCTGTATAAATTAAATTATAATTATAATTATAGATACAGAAATGTAAATAAAAATATAAATGACATCAATTTTTTTATCGTAAAGCTAACGAGAACTCTAATTTAATTGTATGTATTTATTATTATAATTTCGAAAAAGTAAATTATATTAAATTCTTTGAAATACCATTTTAATTTTTTGATATTTATATTTTTAAATTAAATTTCTGGTATCCATTAAATATACCCTCTCAGCCCTAGGGAATGTGCCACCAACTTTTCCACAAATTTGGCTTAGAGAAGGGGCCTGGACTGGCTGTCGCTTCCAATGGCCCATTCAAAATTACGAGCCAACAGTTTCCGCAGTGTTTTTTGTCATTTCCATGCGCTCATTGTCAGTTTTAAGTAAGCAACTTCCGCGTTGTTGTAGCTTCACAGTGCCGGCTGTTGTTGTTGTTGTTGTTGTTGTTGTGGCAGCAGCCAAAAGTTTTGTGACCAAAAGTCTGCCTACAAATGCAGACAAATATGGAAAAACTCATGAAATGCAATAAATTTTCAAATATATTTTGTGTGCGCGCGGCAGCCGAGTTTTTCATCTGTTTTTGTTTTTGATTTTAATTTTTTTTTATTTCTTATTTTCAAGCAATTTTTTGTTAGTTTGATTGTTGGCTTCTGTGCGCCGCATATAGATTTTCATTGTTTTAAACTGGTAACTTTTTCTTGGTGCAGTGCACAGAACACAACTGATAAAGCCACGTTTTGCAAACAATCCAAACGCCGAAACCGAGGCAGAAATCAGAAAAAAAGGGAAATAAAAAAAGATAGGAACAGCTACTGGCGTGCGCTCCAGAAATTGACAAAGTCTAAGGCCGAGAGTGCCATATAAATCAAATGTCTATTTCGTAAAGTCAGAAGACCGAATTTACGAGTAGCTTCGAAAGGCAAAGCCAAAAATAGCAGATATCTAAGGAGCAATGAAAAAATGTATAAATTTGATTTAGAACTGAGTGCAATTGCGTATTTTCAAATAGGGAATAATAGAGGGTTTCTATATATTTCTTTAGCTTAAAATAATTTTGATTAATAAGAAATCTAATCAAGGATCAAACTAAGATGTACATAATAATAATAAAACTTCTCATTCCGTATTCAAAATAAATATAGTTTTCTTTGTATTTACTTTACTATTCCAAAAATTGTGTAAGGATTATCTCCTTCCACCCTAGAAATACAGGTAAATATGCAGGTAAATGCTTAATCTATTAAAGTTACTTTATTCATTTATTAGAAGATAATTATGTTAATTCATTTCAAAGTTGCTTACAATCCAAGTACCAAACTTCTTTGTTGAAATCCTAGTCATTGATTAAATTCTTCCACTAACCATTAACGTCACAACGTCAACAAGTATAACAAGTCTAAACACTTTTACTGTAGTATAAAAACTTGGCTGTCACCCCTTCTTTGTCACAGATTGTAAATTTTGTGAGATTTCCCCCAGAATTGCCCCATCGCCCGCTGCAGACACAACATCAAATCAAATCAAGGAAAATCACAGAATACCTACCTACCGAACATCGCCCATCTAGCACTGATAAAAGATAACCATTACGCGACGATCGACTTCTGTGAGGAACGGCGATAAGTGGCCGAGACCGTTTGGCTATAAAAACTGGCAACCGTTGGCTGTGGGCTGCAATAGAAGCCCTGAGCCGGAACACTGCGGATCGGTTTGGAGTTAACTAGAATTGGGAAAACCTCAAAAATGCTGAAGCAACTTGCATTGGTGCTGCTCCTCTGCGGCGTGGCCCTGGCGGGCCAGAGCTACGATGGGTGAGTTTTTCGAAAGGAGTAGAATGATCAGGCATCCTAAATGATTTGTAAATTCTTTCCTACAGCTACAAGATCTACGATGTGCAGGCCCGCAATTCCTTTGAGAAGCAGCTGCTGTTGCGTTTGTCCCAGAATGATGCCTACGACTTTTTTGATCTGCCCCGCTCTCTGGACGCCTCTAGCCGCGTGATGGTCAAGCCGGAGGATCAGGAGGGTTTTGAGATTCTTTTGCAAAAACACAACGTAGACTTTGTGGTGACTGATGAGAATCTGGGAGAGTCTCTGCGGCTGACCCATGAGGATAACCAGAAGCAGCGCCTGATGAACCTGCGCTCCACCGGACGGAGCATCAGCTTCACTGCCTTCCATCGCCATGCCGAGATCAATGCCTATTTGGATGAACTGGCCGCTGCCTATCCCAGCCGTGTTAAGGTCGAGGTTGCTGGCAAGTCGTACGAGAAACGAGACATCAAGACCATCACGATCAGCAATGGAGATGGCAAGACCGGAAAGAAGGTGATCTTCCTGGATGCTGGCATCCATGCCCGCGAGTGGATTGCCCATGCCGGTGCTCTGTATGTCATCCATCAGCTGGTTGAGAACTTTGCCGCCAACTCGGATCTGCTGAAGGACTTTGACTGGGTCATCCTGCCCGTGGTTAATCCCGATGGCTATGAGTACACCCACACGACAACTCGCCTGTGGCGCAAGACCCGCAAGCCGATCAGCTCCTCCTGCTACGGCACTGATGCCAACCGCAACTTTGACTTCCACTGGGGTGAGGTGGGCGCCTCCAGCTACTCCTGCTCTGATACCTTCAAGGGTGAGACTGCCTTCTCCGAGCCGGAGACCCAGATACTCCGCGATCTCCTCTTGGACCTGACAGGACGCGGCAAGTTCTACCTGACGCTGCACTCGTACGGCAACTACCTGTTGTACCCCTGGGGATACACTTCGTGAGTAGTTTTTTGATTATTTAATTTATTGAGTAAATCACCTGGTTTCTGAGGGAATATATATATTATCCAATACTGTATTACGATATAATCATAATTAACCCATATCTTTCCACAGTGCCCTGCCCAGCACCTGGCGCGATATCGATGAGGTAGCCCAGGCTGGTGCTGCTGCCATCAAGAGCGCCACCGGAACCAAGTACACCGTGGGCAGCTCCACCAACGTCCTGTACGCGGCTGCCGGCGGCAGCGATGACTATGCCTTCGGTGTGGCCAACTTCCCCGTGTCCATCACCATGGAACTGCCGGCTGGTGGCACCGGTTTCAACCCCAGCGCCAGCCAGATCCAGGGTTTCGTGTCGGAGACCTGGCTGGGCATCCAGGCCATGGCCAAGTTGGTCGTCCAGAAGTACTAGGCGAGTGCAATAAACGCCAGCGTTGATGATATTTTGTAATCTTTGGGTCTCTTCTTTTGCTAATTGGGAATTCTAGGCACGCGCGGGAAGGGAAAGATAGAAGCCCTCTCTTTGGGGTGGGGGGCCGTATCACTCGAGCTGTGGCATTGACACACTGGACTAATTGGGTGGGGCTCTCGGAACTCCTCCACTTTACTTCACTTTGGACTCTTCGGACTTATCGCGGTTTGTTAATTGGGTTCATCGAGTGTAGGAGAATTCGAGTGGCGGTTTAGATTATCGCGTTTCAAGAGAACTGTCTTTGTAGGTGGCCTAAGACTGGGGAATTTTTAACCTATTTTCGGGTTATATTATGGTTAGAAATTAACAACTTTGACTTTTTAAATACCATAGTAAATAAATAATTATATACTGATGTATGGCTTATATCAAATCTCAATTTATGTGAATTCAATCAAGGTTGTATTAGGGAATATTAAAAATTATTGTTAAGAAAAATAATTCCTTTCTTAATATATAATTATACTCCAAAATTAGCCCATATAAATACGAAACCTTTGCCAGATAAGAAAACAAGAAATAATTATCCCTATGATATTGATTTTACCTTAGTTACGGCTAACTATCCCATAAACTTTGTTATCTATAATGACGATAGTTAACGGAAATTTAATCTGAAAGATAAGGCAAGCGATAAGCACAATTAACTTTTATCAAACTGGACAAACCAAAAAAGAGATTGTCTTTATAGCGGCAAGATAGTTCACAAATTACGGTTTATTGCTAGAATCAGAATAGCCACTCAGGAGAGTGGATACTTGGTCACCACTTTCCTGGCCATGGCAGCAATGCCCACCCAGGTCTCCTTGACCATGTGATCAATGTCCGAGGCTGGTGGATCGAAGCCAGTGCCGCCAGGTGGCAATTCCATGGTGAAGGAAATGGAGAAACCCGCATTAAAAGCATAATCATCACTGGCTCCGGCCGCCACATAGAGGACAAGGGTGGAGGATCCTATAACATACTCAGTGCCAGTGGCCTCGAGTATGGCATCATAGCCAGCCTTGGCCACCTCATGCAAGTCGTCAACGGTCTCTGGCAGGTCTCTGAAATGGAGGAACCATTAAAGTTTATACTTTGTTATAGAATTTAAAAGCACTGACTCGCTCCATCCCCAAGGATATAGAATGTACGGTCCATAGGAGTGAAGGGTCAGATACATCTTTCCGCGGTCCGCATAGCTATGAATGAGATCCCCCACCACGAGAGCTTCTGGCTCCGAAAAGGCCTTCGATCCAGCATAGGTATTATCGCAGGGATTCTCGGAGGCACCCTCCTCGTTCCAGTGGAAATCAAAGTTCCTATTGGGATCAGTGCCAATGCAACTGTCGCTGCTGGGTTTTCGGGTCTTTCGCCACATGCGAGTGTCCGCCGACAGCTGGGTGTACTCATAGCCATCCGGATTCACCACGGGCAGAATAACCCAATCGTAGTCCTTCAGCAGATCGGCATTCTCCTCGAGATTATCCACTAGTTGGCTGATCAAGTACACCACAGCTGCCGGAGAGATCCATTCGCGAGCATGGAAGCCGCCATCCACGAGAATCACATTCTTGTTCCGCCTGCCATCGCCATTGGTTATGGTGACGGTCTTCATCAGGCGTTTCTCGTAGCTCTTGCCCACCGTTTTCACAAAGACACGACGCGGATACTCCTTGGCCAGATCCTCGATGAACTGATTGATCTCGCCGTGGGAGTAGTAACGCTCTGTGCCCAGTCTGCCATTATAGGGAAACCAATTTCGCAACATGCGATCCGTATCGAACTGCCGACTCAGAGTCAGTCCAACATTTCTGTTCACAATCTCGTAGTTTGCATTGTGCTCATCCATTAGCTTTACGAAATTCACCTGCTCCTGGGGATGAACCATCACCCTGGCCGGTTGGCCACCAGATGCGGAAAACACCTCGTAATAAGAGTCATTTTTAGACAACTCGGAAAAGGCAAACTGCAGAGGCGACGACCGAGCTTTCAAGGTCACTTCGTAGATCTTATAACTGGATTACAAAATCTATTTAAAATATATGAAAAATATATATCAATGATATATCTTACCCCTCATATTTATTGGCCTTCTGAAGTCCTGTGGACAGGCTCAGGCAACTTAAAGGCAGCAAAAGCCACCAAACCTGCATCTTTCCACGTTGCCAGCTCTCTGGAAAATAAAAATTCCTCTCCAGCGAACCAACTTTACTGATTCGTTATCAACAAATCGAACTACGCGGATGGTTGTAAAATCAAGAGAAATCGATCACAGGCTATGATTGCCGACAATCAAAATGACGAACCATTATCAGCCACGTTCTCAATTACGCGCTCTCAAATTTTATTCGAAAAATGGGGAATCAATGTTAAGTGAATTCAATTCCGTTTCAATTATAAAATCGAATTTTTAATAAACACAATTAAGGAACGCAGGGGTAAAGAAAATTTATTAATCGTAGAGCTAAGGAAGGGTAAAGTACCAATTGTGATAGGTATCTATCTCTGATAAAGGTATATAAAACCCAGTCCAAATTGTAGTTTAGATATTCTCCTACTATGGGACCACATATCAGATCACTTGACTGATGACAAGTACAGCAAAGGCTTAAATTTCACCACAAAATTTTTATTAGTATAGTTAAACCCCACCACAGATCAGATCACTGTAAATACATTTTTAGAACTATTTCTGACAAGACTTTATATTTTCAAAATTATTTTAAGGAGGCTTTGCTTAAGCTGAGAGCTTGCCTTGACCTCGAATTGCCGAATATCGTATTTTTAGAAAAGTGTTTTGGACAAGACTAAATTTTACGTTTCCTTTAGGGATTCTCTCCGTTTAAGCGGAGGGCTGCATATATGCGTCGACCTCGTATAGCGTTGACATGCTCTAAGGACAAGTTGGTTTTGGTTTGGGGCACATCGGCGACATCTTCCGTCTGGGGCAAGCTGGCTTTGGTTTTGCGCAACGGCGCTTTGGCTTGGCGCACCTTGGCTTCGGACGTTTGCACTTCATTGGGCATGCCTTCTTCATAGGCTTTCGGCAAGACTTCTTTTTAGGCTTGGCACAAGCCCTCTTCGGTTTAGCGCACATTCGTTCACTGGCGCTGCCCTTCTCGTCTTCCTTTTTTTCCTTTCAGCGAATAATTTAATTAATTACAGCCTTTAAGCAAGTGAAATCAACTTACAGGAAGGAACATATCTTGCTCTTCCTCGGGCATATTGTCCCAGTAACGCGCGGCTGCTTCAGTCACTCGCAATGTGTAATTCTCGAGAAAGTTGTTGAAGCCATCGTTTTTGTCGCGACCAAATGAATTCATGGTATTCATAATTTCAATCTTGCTTATAAGCGTACAAATTTACCGAAAAATACAATCAACTCGAATTTTATTTAAAAAATGTGTTTTTTTCTAGAAATTGTTGTGTTCTGATCGGGTTTACGATTTAGACTGAATGTAGGTAGAGCTGAGCTCCAGTACATAGGGGAATTTCGGTTTGAATGGAGGGTCACAGGTTGCTTGATTCGCTAGATTTTTCATTTCAAAAAATGTGTTAATTTATTAAAACAATATAAAATAATTTTCTAGTACATCTCTAGAAGTTTTTCAGCCATGGCACGGATACCGATCCAGGTCTCTGTGACGAACTCATCGATGCGGGTTACTGGCGGATTGAATCCAATGCTGCCAGCTCCAGTCAGCTCCATGGTGATGGACACATTGAACCCAGCATAGTAGCCATAGTCATCACTAGCACCAGCAGCGATGTAGAGGACATTTGTGGAGGATCCGTACGTGTAGACGGTGCCGGTGGCGTTCTCAATGGCCTCGGCTCCAGTACGGGCAACAGCATCCAGATCTTCCCAGTTATCGGGAAGATCGCTAAGATAATAGAAAAATAAATATATTATATAAAATTTATATAAATTATTTAAAATTACTTACGAAGTCCAGCCCCAAGGATACAGCAGATAGTTGCCGTACGAGTGGATGGTGAGGTACATAATGCCCCGATCAGCCAGCGAATGCATCAGATCCCGCACCACAATCGTCTCCGGCTCGGAGAAGGCAGTGGGACCAGCATAGGTATCCGAGCAGGGATTCGATGAGGCGCCCTCCTCGTTCCAGTGGAACGCAAAGTTACGGTTGGGATCCGCTCCGTAGCAGGTCTGTCCGGCGTAGTTGTATGGCTGACGGGTTTTACGCCACATGCGGGCAAGGGTTCCGGTCTGTGAGTGCTCATAGCCATCGGCATTGACCAGGGGCAGAATGACCCAGTCGTAGTCCTGCAGCAGATGGGCATTCTGCTCGAACTGCTCCACCAGCTGATCAATGACATACAGAACCGCCGCCGGGGAGATCCATTCTCTGGCATGGAAGCCGCCATCCAAGAAAATCACCTTCTTGCCGGCCTTACCGTCGCCATTCGTGATGGTGATGGTCTTCAGGACTCGCTTCTCGTAGGACCAGCCCACGGTTTTCACATATACACGATGGGGATACCGCTTGGCCAGGTCATCGATGTAGTTAATAATCTCCTCGTGGTTGTAATAGCGCTCGTTGCTCAGGCGACCCTTGCCCGTGATGGGACTCAGGAGCCGCTGCATCTGCCTCTGGGCAAACTCCTCGGCAATGGAAGCACCCAGGTTGGAGTTGACAACACTACTGTCAATCTGATGGGCCTCAAGGAGCTGCTGAAACTGCTCCAGCTGTTCGGGGCTAACAATCACTTGAGAAGGATGTCCCAAGAGGCGACTCTCGCTGAGGAAATCAAATCCTTCAAAGCTGAGCTGATGCAGCAACTTGGCCTGGTCGATGGTTGAGGGAATAACCTCATAAATGCGATAGCTAAAATAGACATATTTAACTTTATTCATAAGATTTTCGTTATATATTTCCAGCTAGGAAATATTCCTTTAATTTTTCCTGTGAACTGTATACGCTTTCCTTGCCAAAAACTTACCCTTCATAGTCACGATCGGCGGCCACCAAGGCGGCGCCTAAAAGGAGCACTAGCAAGCCCAGGGAAAACTTCATCTTCGGTCAGACTAAGCAACCGCGTGGCTTGGGCGTGCCTCTTAAATAGCCGCCAAAGTCACCTGTTGGCGTATCTAATCACCAAATAGATCAATAAATAATAAAGCACTCCAAAAACTCCCGCACCGGTGACCCGCCAAATCAAAGCTGGCGCAATTTCCCAGTTAATGTCTCTTTATTTACAGCCCGATTATGGGGAGATTACGCCGGGTACCGTCTTATCACCTCCGCGGCCATGGCCCGCACGCCCACCCAGCTCTCCGTGACCAGGCCGTCGATGTGCGAGACCCAGGGATCGAAGCCCAGGAATCCCGCAGCAGGCAGCTCCATAGTCATAGCCACCGTGGCATTGGCCACTCCGAGAGCAAAGTCCGCCGTGTCGCCCGATGTCGGATACAGGACGTAGTAGGTGCTGCCCCAGGTGTATATCCCGTTGGTGGAGTGAATTATGGCCATGGCGCCAGCCTCTGCCACTGACATCATGTCCTGGTAGTGATCCGGAAAGTCCCTGGAACATACAAGAGGGTTGTTAATTTTTAAGTATATAAAAAGTACATTTTTATAAATAATTAATTACTTGTAAGCTTTACAAGATAATTTTAGTGCAGGTAGATAAGCTTAATTGCAAGGCGATTTCTTAGAATTCCTAGACCATATATAAAGTTAATTCTCTATAATTGATAACTACTTTATTTATTAAACATAACTGTCTAGACTTTATCTTAACGCAGTAAATTGAGAATTTTTCTTTGTAATTTTATAAGAAACATTTCCCAGAATCAATTTATACAATAAATCATTTTTATATAAGAAAAAAAAACTGTTTCTTTGATCTTATAATAGCTAACATTCTTGAAAGCTTTAAGCTAAAGACTTATTTAAATTATCTTGCAATTGTAATTTTTTTAAACAGCAAAAAGTTGAAAAAGGTATTTTTCAATTAAAAAATATCTTCGAAATATAAAGGTAGATATTTTCCATAACCATGTAAGTGCTGAAACCCTTTATAAACCCTGTCCCTTCTAGTAATGCTAACAAAATGTATTCAATCTTATTCTTAGTCTCCTCCGTTCTCATTGTATCCTTGGCTGTCCCATTGAAATCGGGACCTGCTTATCAGACGGATGACTATTACACCCTAGAAGGAATCGAGCAGTATCTCAAAGGTCTAGCCAAGAGCTATAGTCACCGAGTTTCAGTGAAGGAAATCGGAAGGTCCTACGAAAACCGAAGCCTGAACACCATCACCATAACCAATGGCGACGGGCGTTCGGGAAAGAAAGCTATCTTCATCGATGCAGGAATCCATGCCAGGGAGTGGCTAGCTCACACCACGGCCTTGAACATTATCAATCAGCTGGTGGTGAACTTCAAGGAAAATAAGGAACTCCTGCAGGACCATGACTGGATCGTTCTTCCCCTGGTTAATCCAGATGGATACCATTATTCGCGATCTATAGACAAATGCTGGCGCAAGAATCGCAGACCCAGCAGCGAGAATTGTGTCGGCATTGACCTTAATCGGAATTTTGGAAGTGGTTGGAGTCTAGGAGATGCTGATTCGGACCCGTGTGGGATTACATATATGGGTCCTGGGTCTTTCACAGAGCCTGAATCCAGGGCAGTTCAAGGAGTGCTTCACGAAATTGCTGATGCTGGCCGCGGTATTATGTATATATCGTTTCATTCATCCGCTTACGAAATTCTCCTCCCATGGGGATATAAGAAGTAAGTTCATAGAAATTTAGTTTTGTATCGATTTTGATAATGTTATAATTTAAGGGTTAAAGCCACGAACTACAAGGAGCATGAAGCAGTGGCCACTGCTGGTCAAAGAGCTATAAAGAAAACGTTTTCATCAGAATATATTGTAAAACCAATCTATGGCATGTATGTCGCAGGTGGCGCTTCAAGTGACTACGCCTACAGCTTAGGATTTCGCTTATCCTACACTTGGGAACTTCCAGGCGAAAGAAATGGTTCCGAATTCGAATTCCATCCACCCAAGGAGCTTATTAAAGAACTCGTCAATGAAACTTGGATTGGTGTTCGCGCTATGGGAGTAAAAGTTGCAGAAATATTTCGAGACAACTAAAATTCAAACTTAAAAGTTCTTCGCAATACTATCTCTTAAATTGTATCTCAAATAGTTTTCTTTGCAACAATATAAAAAAAATAAAATAAAGTCATGTAAACAAAAACTATAAACTTACTTGGTATATCCCCAAGGCAGTAGGAAGTAGTTTCCGTAGGAGTGAAGTGACAGGTACCAGGTAAGCCTGTCGCTATAATGAAGCAGGACATCTCGCAGGACCTGCGACTCTGGCTGATCGAAGGGCTGTTCACCTCGGTAAATATCCTCGCAAGGGTCCGCCGAGGATCCCTCGTCGTGACCCCACTCGTAGCCAAAGTTCCTGTTCAAATCCGTCCCCACGCACTCCGGATTGCTGGTGGGACGACGGGTCTTCCGCCAGTATCGGGAGTCCGTATGCGTGTACTCATAACCATCCGCATTGACCACCGGCACGATGACCCAGTCAAAGTCCGCCAAGAGCTCCTGGTTTTCCACGTAGTTGTCCAACAGCTGCTGGATAATGTAGAGTGCCATCGAGGGCGAGATCCACTCCCGGGCATGAACAGTGCCATCGACCAGGATCACAGGCTTGTTCCGTCTTCCATCGCCGTTGGTGATGGTCAGCACCTTCAGGGGTCGCCTCTCGTAACTCCAGCCAAACTGCTTCACCTGAGCTCTCTTCGGAAACCGGTCGGGCAGTGTGTCCAGGTAATCATTGATTTCCGAGTGAGTGTAAAAGGCTTCCAGGACTTCAAGATGAGGCAGCTGAATCCTCTGCTTTCTCTTCAGATTGTCCGCCCTCTGGGCCTGCACTAAGGGTGCTAAGTCCTCGATCACCACGCGATGTTTCACGTGGTAGCCTTCGAGGATACTAACCAAATCTTTAGCTTCTTCGGGAGGAACTATTACCTTCAGGTAGGAAGTTTCAGTTCCGTTTCCACTTGAACGCATAAAATCCAAAAGAGGTTTTTCCTGCGACAACTTCCTTACAAGACTCTCCTGTTCAGCTTGAGGGGTATGCAGCTCAAACACCTTGAAGTCCTTGTAGTCCTGCCAAGCGAAAATGAGCATTGGCTGCACCAGCAGAAGAATTAGGCAACGCGCCACTAATGAAGTCATATTTCCCCGAATGTTCGATATGGACTGGGCTAGAGCAGCTGCTCGATCTAATATCATTAGCCATTTTTATCACTTTATTGGAGACGCTGCCGCCTGCTTATGATACCAAAAGCGACTTTATTTATATGCTTCCGTTTATGGCACAGTCAAACTGAGTAGTTCCCCCTTCTGTTTGCTAGGGTTGAAGTAACGCCTTCCAAATGAACTAGTTTCAGCTTAAGAAATATCTAAACAAGCTGAGAATACAAAATAATAATAATATGAAAAATAATAAATAAAACTAAAGCCTTAGGCACACTACAGGTACTCATTGCCACAGCCGTTTCCAGAGATACATATTATTAACATTCCTTCAAGCTTTGAAGTACAAAAACGTATTTAAATTATCTTCAAATTGTATCTTAATCAGACTAAACAAATTAAAAAAGGCATTTTTTAATTAAAAAAATATCTTGAAAATATAAAGCTGAAACCCTTTATAAACCCTGTCCCTTCTAGTAATGCTAACAAAATGTATTCAATCTTATTCTTAGTCTCCTCCGTTCTCATTGTATCCTTGGCTGTCCCATTGAAATCGGGACCTGCTTATCAGACGGATGACTATTACACCCTAGAAGGAATCGAGCAGTATCTCAAAGGTCTAGCCAAGAGCTATAGTCACCGAGTTTCAGTGAAGGAAATCGGAAGGTCCTACGAAAACCGAAGCCTGAACACCATCACCATAACCAATGGCGACGGGCGTTCGGGAAAGAAAGCTATCTTCATCGATGCAGGAATCCATGCCAGGGAGTGGCTAGCTCACACCACGGCCTTGAACATTATCAATCAGCTGGTGGTGAACTTCGAGGAGAATAAGAAACTCCTGCAGGACCACGACTGGATCATTCTTCCCCTGGTTAATCCAGATGGATACCATTATTCCCGATCTATAGACAAATCTTGGCGCAAGAATCGCAGACCCAGCAGCGAAAATTGTGTAGGCATTGACCTTAATCGGAATTTTGGAAGTGGTTGGAGTCTAGGATATGCTGATTCGGACCCGTGTGGGATTACATATATGGGTCCTGGGTCTTTCACAGAGCCTGAATCTAGGGCAGTGCAGCGAGTACTCCACGAAATTGCCGATTCTGGTCGAGGTATTATGTATATATCGTTTCATTCATACGCTTACGAAATTCTCTACCCATGGGGGTATAAGGAGTAAGTTCATAGACATAGTTTTGTATCGATTTTTACAATGTTATAATTTAAGGGTTAACGCCACGAACTACAAGGAGCATGAAGCAGTGGCCACTGCTGGTCAAAGAGCCATAAAGAAAAAGTTTTCATCAGAATATAAGGTGAAACCATCATTTGACATGTCTGTCATAGGTGGCGCTTCAAGTGACTATGCCTACAGCATAGGTTTTCGCTTATCCTACACTTGGGAACTTCCAGGCGAAAGAAATGGTTCCAAATTCAACTTCCATCCACCCAAGGAACTGATTAAAGAACTCGTTAATGAAACTTGGATTGGTGTTCGCGCTATGGGAGCAAAAGTCGCACAATTGTTGTAAAACAAATGTTCATTAAACTTAAAATTCAGCAAAATAATAAAATTCAATTAATAAATCTCAAAAACTCTTCAATATTCATCTGTTTTATGCTTAACAACGAGGTCACTAATTAGTTTAAGGTTAACAAACAATAAATTCAATCGTTTAAATAGCTTAATAGAGGCTAACGTGCCGGATGAACTCGATGAAGCCGGCGAAAGTCTCCTTGCAGACGTGGATGATGTCGTGGGCGGGCACGTGGAACTCGTCGCCGGGCAGCTCAAGAGTGTAGGACAGGGGAATCCCCAGGTTGCCGTAGGCGTAGTCATCCAAGCTTCCGGAGGCCTCGTACAGGATTGAGGCGGAGGTGCCGGTGGTATAGCGGGTGCCGCGGTATTTGCCGATCTGGTTGGCGGCCCTCAGAGCCACCGAGCGTAGAGTTCCCACTGTTGGGGGTACGGTGTTTCTGCAGAGAGATTAAAGTAAGTCGACAAATTTAAAAATTTGCTTAATATTAATTTCTTCATTGTAGTATTCTAATATAGTTTATAAGATTATAGTATATAAACAATACAGCATTTGTTGTGTTTTTAAAACATTAAATAAAGACAATTTTTAATAATTTAAATTATTAATAAACTCTTTTTTCTCACAGTATAAAAACGAGAGTGAGCAGCGAATTAAATGGATGCAGTGGCAGAAATATTCGGGTTTAATTGCTTTTAGCAAATAATTGAAAAGTAAATTGAATTTCTTTCCGGGCATCCCCCGCTGGCTGGGGTTTTCGGACATGGAACATGGAAATCTGGGAGGAGGAAAGTCCCACACGCCCACACTCCCCACTACCCATCCCATACTCACTTCGCATAGCCGTAGGGATAAAAAATGAATTTGCCAAATGAATGAACATCCAGGCTGAGTTTCACACGATGCCGATTGAATTCCAGATACCGCACCACGGCGGAGGTTTCCGGCTCCGAGTTCGGCGCCGTTCCCGAGTAAACCTCCGAGCAGAGCTGTCGATTTTTGTTTTAATGGAAAAAAGAAAGCCAGGATTACAACGCGACTCCATGGCGAAGGTCAATGTTACGGGCTTACGTTCTGACTGGCACCCTGGTAGTTCCAATGGTTGCCAAAGTTCCGGTTGATGTCCACGCCGGAGCAGGCATGGCCGGCGTAACGATGACGGTTCTTGCGCCAGAAACGATCCTAAAAGTATATCAAAATTGAGAAGAAAATATAAGAAAATAAAGAAGAAAATATATAAATATACCTATACTATTTATAATACTCGCTTATAACTATTTTCTATGCTATTAGAATGTTTTCTGTCACTTAAATGTACTATAACAAGTGATATAAATATTCAAATGTACAATATATACATTTTTTTACAGTCTACCATCTAAAAGGTGAGTACTTTTATTTTCAAAACTCAAATAAAAGCCATTGTCCTAAGGTAATTATTATTGAAATATATATATATATATCTTATATATATAAACTATTAAATAAGGAACCATTTTAGCATTTAATATGTCATTTTATTTAGGGTTCCCTGTACTAAAATATATATTGACTAAAATAAATGACTTCCATTAAGTGTTTTTAAGAGATTCTTTGATGTATAGATGCTTAAACCTATGTACATATATTCATTACAGAGATGAAAAAAAGGGAAAAAGCTAAATTGCTGTCAACTTTTTCTCTATTTCTGGATTATATAAATCAGGAAGCTTAGTTTAAGAATATTTAAGAAAATAATTAAAAGGTTAACTTATGTCAAATACAAATAAAAGGCGCTCTTTACGTTTTTTTGTAATACGTTTCTTGTAATAATATTAAATAAATAAATAAATTTGATTCGATATTTTCCCCAGACTTACCGACGTGTGAGTGTATTCATAGCCATCAGGATTGACTAGCGGCACCAGGAATACCTCCACGTCCTGCAAAACCCGCTGGAAGGCACGAAGGTTACTCAGAAGCTCGTAGGCCAAATACAGGACCGTCTGGGTGGTAATCCACTCCCTTCCATGGGCAGCTGCCTGGATGTAGGCCACCCGTCGATGGCGCTAAGAATATATAGAAATTATAAAGTTAAGTGATCAGCCGTAATATATATTAATAAAATCTCTTACCACCCGGCTGTTCAGCGAAATAGAGAGCGCGGCTATATGGCGACCCTCGTTGGAGCGGCCCAGGGACTCGTAGCGACAGTACTGAGGATACCTGGCCGCCAGTCCGCTCATGAAGCTGAGCACCTCATGGTAGCGCGGATAGTGGGAGAAAAAGCCGCGGGCCTGGCGACGCGACCGGCGACGTGGCTGCTCCGCCTCAACGCAATCCTCCTGCTGGCACTCCTCGTACTCCTCTTCGGCGAAAGAGCTGTTCGCCTGCAGGGCAGCCATCAGTTCCATGAGCGGTTGCATCTGATAGCTGACGCCTAGGTTGGAGAGACGGGTCTCAAACTGGGCCTTCCGTCGTGGGCTCACAGTCAGCACGGAGGAGTTGCGAGTCAGAAGCCAGAAATCCAACTCGGCGTCATTGGTCTGCAGATCCACCATGTAGCGGAAGGCATTCTCATCGCCATGCTGCACCGTGTATTTTGTATAGCTGCAATATATACATTTATTTTATTTAAATTAAAGAAATAACTATAAAAATAAATACACCAAATAAAGAAGTATCTGGTATCTGACTCTTGAATAATATTAAACTTAACATTTTAAATATTTATCTAATTTAAAATATATTTTCAGTTCATGGTATATTTAATCTTAAATCGTTAATCTGGAGAATCAATATTAATGGAGGTCCGGATCAAAATGTGTAAAAACTGATTAAAAAAACAAACAAGCTATGAGCCATATTTTTTAGTGAGTATGTCAAGGTTGGGCTATCTATTGTTTTTTGAAGATATGTGTTAATTAATTCATTGTAGAGATAATACATTGTGCTCCAACTAAATATATATTAGCGTCCATTTGACAAGCATTTTATTAATTTAATAACACCACCAACATTTTGACACTTTTTGCTGGTCCTTCTAACAAGTTAATTTTAATCGGTGGAACCGAGTGTGTGATATGCTTATTAGCCGTTCGCAATTAGCTTGCCTGATAATTATAATTTAGTCTATATAGAGCCGGGAAATCCCGATGATTGCTCCACATGTCTCAAACTAATTGGACAACAAATTAATTTATGGCTCGCCCTCGCCCGGCGTCAAAATGAGTTGTTGATTCATAAATTTATGCAAAGCGCTGGCTGGCTGGCTCTTTGCCGTTTGTTGGCTCTTTGCCACCTCGCTCGGATCGGTGGCCAATTTATCATCTCGTTAAATTCCACAACGGCAAGCACACACGAAATACAAGAAATAATGAAGCAACAAGCGATGCCAGCTAGTATCTGCCTTAAGTCCATGCATTTGTCTGAGGTTTGTGGGTGGTGTGGAGGGGGTACACAGAAAGAAAATTGAACATTCTAAAAAGGGTTATAATTATTACCTAATAAGCTAATAAATAGTGTAAGACAAAAATGTGTTTCCTTGAATTAATTGATACAAATTTGAAATATCCAACAAGACATAAAATTATTTTAAACTGAAGTTATAATCCTGAGAACTACTCTTTTGATAACCTCTCCTCCTAAATTTATTTACATTCATATTCTCTTTTTAATTAAAAACTAAATTCCAAATATTTTCCCCCAGTGCAGTCGCTTTTGTATCTGAAGATAAAGGCGCCAGCTAAAAGCTAATCACGTGTGGCAGCCAACGGCATCCAATGATAATTTAATTAGGCGCCCCCCGCGCCGTCCGTCGAATTGGAATAACCGGCGCGGCAGGGCACATTTTTCATCTTTACATAAAGTTATGGTTTATAATTTTCCCAACACATTTTTAGGCAAATCAGGGGCCATTGTCCATCAAATGCCACCGGCCTTGTGGAAATGCATATCTCTTTCTGGGCTCTTTGCATGCTTAAAATTATATATTTTTGTATTTTTTCGAACTTGAAAAGCTTGGGTGATGATGAAACCACCATAGCCGCTTGGAGTAGCAGCAATGATCGGAAGGAAGCTGGCAATTGACAGACAGACAGACGGAATTCCAGCCTTTGGCTCTGAAATTCTGCCCTCTGCCACCGCAAAGCCCTCATTCATCACTCATACGCCACATGGGCCACCGTGACAGACAAGAGGGGAGATGTTGTTGCTCGAGGGCAGCGGCTTGTTTGGCAAACATTTCGCACTGCGGATTGCTGGGTAATCACAAATTGCGAAAATTATCAACGGAACTGTTGAGTTGTTTAGTGTTTTGTTGTATTTTGTGGCGTTCAAAACATTTAGCACCGCTTATTATGTATTATGATGTTTTCTAATCACGGCCAATGGCCATGAGCACGGTTAAGGGCAATGTTTGTGGTTTTAAAATGTGAATAAACTTCTTAGTTAAGTTTTAAATGGAAATATTGTAGCATTGTTAACTTTAAAATGTCATATTAATGATCATTAAAATGTCATCACATATTTAAAATTAATTAACATAAAACGCTATGAGATAAAATTGTAAAAATAATTGCATTCGAGTATAAAATCAATTAAATTTAACAATTTTTCTTTGGAAATTAAAATTATAAATGTTATACCAAGAACATTTTTTTTAATTTGTATTCATTGTGTAATTTTTGCGACCTTTATTTTGTTATATAATTGCGCAGCTTATTATTTATAGAGTCAGTTACGCTTTTAACCACTAGTGCTTTTCAGTAAACTAACGCATTTTAATTAGGTTAATTATTATTTGTGGAAATATATTAAAAAGAAAAATGTTCTGCGGATCTAGACAGCAGTTTTTTTAAGTATAGGAAACCATTACGTGGAGGATTGTTAATGAGCTCTTATGTTTGAATCATTAAGGAAAATTTAATAAATTCCAAAAACAGGTTAAAGCTGGCTTTAACTATATAATAAAGTACTAATAAATAATAATAAAAAAAAAATATATATATTATATTTTATTTCATTTCCTTCTCTAGTAATCCGTGTACCATAATTCAAAGTTTCCTTATTTTAATAAACCAAAAAAAAAACACTACAAATAATGCTACCATTGCTTCGAAAATTTTACGATTGGTTTTACGATGTCTTTGGCTTCTTTTGGGTGGCCTCCATAGTGGCAATCCCCTATTTGAGCCATCGATCCAAGCTGGATGACTTTAACTTGGTGGATACTACCATAATGTATATAGTCATATTTTTTGGAGCCTTTGGACAGGCCCAGCAAGGACGAGATCCACCAAGAGGACGAGTTGAATAGTTAACTTAAACTGACTTCGTGGCCCTGATCATTGTGAAACCTGTTTTATAACTAGAGACACACTCTTTCCAAAAACAAAAATTCAATTAATGCGATACGCCTGATTGATGTGTACGACACAAACATTATTTTTTTTTGCTGCTGCTGCTGCTACTAGAGGTTTTTCGGTAACGTTGTAAATTATAATTAATGCGAGTAGCCGCTGATGATGATTACCCTTCGTAGCCGGCCAGGTTGTTACCGAGGCCAGAGCCCGCCAGTCCGAGGAGGCAGAGCGCCAAGCTGCACACGATTCCCTGCCACATTTTCAACATGTACTATATATTCGCAATGCTGTGTACACTTTATTCACTTCCACGATCTGCCCAATTATGTATTAATATATGCACTTGCAGTTGCATGGACAAGCACACGATTTTTGTATATATCTCTCTATTGCACTTTTTTCGTCTTATTGTTTGCGCGCTGCACTTGAGCCACCTGATTATGCAAGTGGCTTTGATTAAATAGTTAGTTTGTTAATGGCAAACAGTAGACGCTCAGCGGACGCGATTCGTGCGTTCCATCTCCGGTCCGGCGGAAGACTGACGGGCGGTTCGAAAAGCGGCCAAGAAAGAAGACGAGAGGCTGGCCAAAAAGCACACAGACCAAAAAAAAAAATGGTCTCGGATCTCGCGGAGTTGATTGTTTAGAAAAGTGAGTGTCAAGGTCTGGCTCTGCGACCAGTTTTTTTTTTCGGACCTGGGTTCCGAAGATATATATGCGAGCGCGTCACGAGACGAGTTGCGGGAAGCCTTTTAGCCAATTGATCGCGGCACGCGTCTTGTCTATATTTATTAACTCGATTTTTACGGCTCAGAACTTTTTGATTATCTTTGCATAATTTATTCACCGGCTTAATGCCCTTTAATGTTGACTTTTTCTTTTTTTCACTGTTTCTAATAAGTCTTGATTGGTTTTTTTTTTTCGAAAATTGAAAACTAGTTTTCTATAATTTGATCACTTTTTGGCCGAAACAATTTGTTCTCTGGCTTATTTGTGGATTCTGCATCCGCATGTCGCGGTTCGTGAATCGATTCTGAAGCCGTTGCTTGTTTATTTTCTGGTTTTTATAGAGGAACTCGTATTATTGCTAAGGTTTTTATGCTTTCGGCTTCCTAATGTCATGATGATGAGTGTTCTGTGTGCCGTGTTGAGGTTCGATTTGAAAGTTCAAGATGTATCGTTCCTTTGGAGCACTGAACTTTCGATTTTTTGGCCAAAAATGGACAAGGTCAAGCAATAGCCGGAAGTCGGGAGCTCTTCATTACAGTTAACATCATCTAAATACGCATTTATTGAGTTCATTAATTCGTCAAGAGATCATCAACAGAAGCCAGGTCACTCAACGTCAAAAAGAAATCATCAAACCATCATCCCAGCATCATCATCATCATCATCATCATCATCGAGCCCCTTAAGATCGCCGCTGATATTTATATTCGATCGCTTGACTTTGCTTTCGGTTCGCTTCGTTTCGGCTCGCTTTTGTGTGTAATTATGACACTTGGCTATAGCTTTGGGCACTTCCGGATCGCATCGGATCGATTGGAGCTGCAGTTTACCAAAGAGACTTGGTAAAAAGTTGGAGCAGATGAACAAATAAGACGCCGCCGCCGCTGTCACTAGCATATTTCCGGCAGAACTAGTTTGTGTGAAATAATTTACATTTAAAATTCATGCCACTTAATGACTTTGTCTGGGCTTAATGCCTAGCTCAATGGCCAAGTTCTAAATCATTTTAGTTTATTTATTAGCCAGGTCCAGACACCATCATCTAGCCCAAAGGGCATTCAACTTTTCCCGCACGCGGCCACAGTCGCAAATCAAATTTATTCGCTATCTGAGCTCTGCGATCGCATTAGCTTAAAGGCTTATATACAGTCGCATAAGGAAAGATCTATTTCGTGTTGGTATTGTTCAGTGGACCAAGCTCAAGGCATGGTGTATATGGTTATTGTCTCGACTTCTGCGGGACGATTTGCATCTGAAAACCCCCATTGGTGACAATAGATGCGTCTTGGCCTTAACCATGAACATGAAATCTTGTATCTCTTGTATGGGAACGGAACTGCGGAATACACAGAGATATAAATAAATAAAAATATTTATAAATTCATGAACAAGTGGTATCTTCAAAAGGCATCAACTGTTATGTCTAATGTTTTCAGGCAATAAATTAAAATTTGTTTTAAGTTTATATCCTAATTTATATATAAATCGTAGTATTTTTTCTTCAAGTGCATATGATATCTTAATAGACTGTTTATTGGCCCAAGGAGTGTGGGATCTTGTTGCGCTCGCACAGTAATCAAAGTAATCAGAATATTGCCTCACAAACTATGCCAAATTGAACAAAGTTAAATTGCCCTGCCACATGACAAAATATAGAGCCAGTTGGGGCAGGTCCAGGCCAACTTTCCCAGCCATACGAATTTGTTTGGGCATAATTGTTCGGAATTTCGTTAATTCGTAAACAGTTTTATGCTACATTACATTTCGTCATCGCAACTCGAACGAAAGGCAGGAGACAGCCGTCAGGCGGCAACTCCAGGAAAAACAACAGAAAAATAAAGCTCCCCTGAATTCAACAAAGTTTTGGCCCTTTAGTATATTCGCCAACATGCTAATGACATAATGTGCATACTTCAAAAGGGTTCCCCAAAAACCTCACTCTTCTCCCCAAGAAAAAAAAAATACGGCCAACCGACTGACTTACTGACTGGGAAAGGCTTCACTTGCCAAGGGACTTTGCGTGTTTAAGCCGTGTAACACTAAAAAAAAATAAAGGAAAATGTTTCTGAATAATATAAGAAAAGAAACGAATAAAAAATATTGTGTAAAAATTAAAACAAAATATTTTAATCAAGAATTTATAACAAAATTTGAATTAAATACTATTAAATTGTATGTTTAAATTATATTAAAATTTCAATTTATAGGCAAACGTTATATAATTTAAAAAATAATAAATAAATCTTTACAAAAATTGTATTTATTTAAAAAATATTAAAGTTTGTTTAATATAAAAATTAAATTTAAAGAATGTTTATTCGTAATGTTTCCAAATAAGGGACAACCTTTTCCCAAAACTAATTTACCGCACTAGACAGCCCATTTTATAGTTTCACAGTGAAGGGGTATATATATATATATAACTGGAAAAGGAGTAACATTGCATTATGTAGACATAGCTAGACGTAAATATATGGCAGTCACTGTGTCAGGAAGTTGACTAAAAGACCGTTAAATGAAAATCAACACGAACATGGTTCCCGTATAAATCAACTGGTTGCGTTGCTCCCGCTCTATGCCATACATATTTATGCCAATTTATATGGATTCGGTTAAGGATTCCGTACAGTTGGATGAATTTTTGTGTGCCGCGCACTTTTGACTTTTGCGTTGACATGACATTTGCCGAGCAATAAAAAGATATATTACACTCGGCAACAAGTTGTCGCAAGTATCAATGGTTATTTTTTTATAGGCATTATAAATCGGCATAGTTGTTTGATCAGTCATTAGGATCATAAAACATCGATAATGGTGATGATCATTAAAGTAATAAAATATACAGGAATGTATATAAATATGTAAATAATTGTGTTTAGTTATAAAAGTATTACGGTTCATCTTGACTATGATTTTGTTTAAAAACCAATTAATGATCCTTTGTTTCCTTTTTGGATAATATTGAAAAAAAAATAAATATACATATATTAAATATATAAAAATTTAGAAGGTACTTAAAATTATAATTTAATTTATTTAGAAAATAATCTTAGCCCTAGTAAACATCATGTAGCCGAGTGTAATCACAGGACAGATCCCCAAATGAACTTCGCTGTAAAACGCTTAACCGGAGTAGAAACAGGACTGCTCCTACTCCAGCCCAGCTACGGGCTGCACGCCAGCTCCAGGAGTCAGGAGTCCTTGTTTATTTGCATTTGAAGGTGCCTGCGCTTTTGGACGCCCACGACGCTGCTGCTCCTGCTCCTGCTCTTGCTCCTTTTTACTGCTCCTGTTCCTGGTTTTGCTCTCCACGACGCCCACCAGTCAAGTTACCCAGCCCCTGGACTGACATTTAGCATATTTGCGTTTTGTGGCAGCTGCAGCCCCGGCTGGGGGATTCCGAACCCGAATCCAAATCCAATTCCGCATTACATGCTACCGGGGCCCAACTTATTAAACGTTGTCGCTGTCCCATTTACCCACTGCGAACGTTACACCGAAACAAAGAAAAATTTGTCATAAATTAAAAAGTCTATTTTAATAAAAAAGAATAGCAAAGTTTACAGAAAAGCTTCTTAAAAATAATGAAAATTGTGTAAAGTAAAAAATATTCAAGTGATCTGGCAGAAAGTCTAATTATGAGTTATGTATGTCTATTAAATAAATTGTTACAATTAATTTTCAATAAACTTCATTATTAAAACCACAACATTTCTATTTTTAAAATAACTTTTTGGGAATTATAAATACAATTCTTCGTAAATCATATCTTAACCATCTTACCAATTCTTATATTTATAATATATTGAATTTTCTTACAGTGCATAGACAGGAGGAAGGAAGGGAAGTTGGAGTTTTAGTGGGAACCCAAGTTGTGTCATTTATGGGCACAAAACCCTGGCTGCCAATGGTTAAGGCCCGCACAATGGAAGACAATCCCAAGCAGCGCACACGGCTCGCTCTGCTCGTCGTGGAGCGACTGCACCTGAACATCAAGTGCCAGGTGAGATTCCCAGCAGGCCAGGCCACTTCCGCTTCTACTGTCAAACCGATTCAATCTGCCAGTTTCTATTTGAGTCTCTATATAGCAACAACCCGTAAATTTTCCAGTGATCAATTGTTTTTGATAAATTTTGTGCTTATTTTTTATGCAAATTTCGTTTGCTCTCCACCATGTTGGGTACAAAATCCGTACGCACCATCACGAAACAGACGACGACGAAGAGCCAGAGCCGGGATACACCGATCACGCCACTCCGTCGGGTGATCATCCCGCGACCGGACATCCTGCACACCTACCTGGAGTACAAGCATATCAATCAGTATATGGAGTATCTATCGAATCGGTATCCGCACTTTGTGCACATGTACACTTTGGGTCACACCCATGAGAAACGAGAGATACGAGCACTTGAGATCAACTGGATGAACTCCCAAAATGTGGAGTTGTCGACGCAAATGCGCGAGCAATCGCCACCGCCATTTGTGGCCGGCAACGCTGGACATGACGCTTTACCGGTGGTGCATAATGCCAGCCATAGCCGGAATACGGTATTCATTGAGGCTGGAACCCATGCCCGCGAGTGGATCAGCATAAGTACGGCCCTTAACTGCATCTACCAGCTAACGGAGCGCTACACCCGCAACATAGATGTGCTGCGGAAGTTGCGCTTCATTATTGTTCCGTTGGTGAATCCCGATGGTTATGAGTACTCCCGGACCAAGGTAATTTTCTGCAAAAAATATTTGTTAATTTAAAATGTAAAAATATATGTAGAACATGCATTATGAATACCCCTCCTCTCTTAGAATCCCAACTGGCGCAAGAACCGACGAACCCACAAGTCCACCAAGTTCGTGGGCACCGACTGTAACCGTAACTACGATATATTCTGGGCCAGCGGTGCTGGCAAGATCAACAGGAACACCTACAAGGGCGATCGTCCCTTCTCTGAACTGGAGACTCGGGCTATGCGCAACATACTGGACCGGCTCAGCCCCAACCTGCTGTTCTTCCTCTCGCTGCACTCGTATGGCCAGAGCATCATGTATCCCTGGGGTTATTGCCGTGACGCTCCGCAATATTGGCGCGAGCTTAGCTCACTGGCCAACTCCGGACGGAGTGCCATCAAGTCTTACAACGGCAGGGAGTACCGGACAGGTAGCATCAGTTGCCTGACCAAGCGCACTATTGCAGGGTCGGTGGTGGACTATGTTTACGGCGTGCTTCGGGTGCCAATGGCCCTGGTAATGGAGCTGCCGTCGCGGGAGCTTGGCTTTCAGCCACCGGTCGAAATGATCAGCCAGATTGGCCACGAAAGTTGGTACGGCATCCGTGAGATGTGCAAGCGTTCCTACGACCTGCGTACCCAGATCAATCGCGACAACGAGCCGCCACTGCAAGGAGCACATTACGTCTTGGAGGTGAGTAATGAGGGCTCGATGACCACGACCAACGAGAAGCCACCGGCGCCGGATGGTGGTGGCGATGCCACTGGAGCCAAATCGACGCCCAAGAAAAAGAAGCGAGTAAAGCGCACAATGCGGGCGCAACATGAGACCATTCTCCGTTTGCAGAGTTCCAAACCAGCCACCAAGCCCAAATCCCTGCCAGCGGGACTCTTTCCACGCCAGATACCAAACTCGGCACCACCAAGCAGACTCGGGCGTGGCGGCGGTGGCGATGGCTTGCTCCTAACTACAAATGGCAAGCCGCCCATTTCCTCGACAATGCCGTTGGGTGTGTTTCTCTAAACGGGAGCCTGTTCGTGATTAGTGCCTAAATGTTTGTTTTAAATTAAAGTAAAGATTTTGAAGTAGATATTTGTTTTGAATAATAGAGCGGTTTCTTTTTTAAAAACGAGTACAGGGACATTTCTGCAGAAATGTCAACCGCGGCCAATAACCTTAGCCGAAATGTCTAAAAAACTTACACATTTTGTTAATAGTGTCTTCTTTACGATAGTTTTTATTTTGAATATAATTGTACAAGTTCGCACTTGGCCTTAAGCGCGCGTAATGTCCATAAAATTAACTCAGATTTGTTTTCTTTGTAACGATATAGTGTTTTATATTGAAAATCATATGTTAAGTCGCTCAAATTCACAATGTATATGCTTCATAGAGGGGAGTACTTAAAGACTAATACAACAAATCCATTATTGTTGAGAGAGTTACTTATTATTGAAGATTGGCACCCTGGGTGCAGCGTATTTCTCGCGCAGTTTGTTGTAGATCTTGCGATCCTGTCGAGAAAAACAACAAAAGTTAGAAAGTAGTTTCAAGTAGTTTTCAATGGTTTTGTACCTGTTCATTAACTGAGGGGCGAAGCTGAAGTAGAGCCTCTTTGAAATGCTTGTTTCGCACACACAAATCGTCAAGGTTTGTGTTGCCATCGTTCAGAGATTGACGCAGGGCGAACATGGAAGCCTGCTTAACCAATCCCGCCAAGTCGGCACCAGTGTAGCCTTCAGTTTGTGCAGCAATCTTGTCGAGATTCACATCATCAGCCAGCAAAGGACGCTTTCCGTTCTGAAAAAAAAAAGATTAAAGTTTATTAGATATTTGAATCACGACAGAGATTCCGATCAACTCACCTTTGTGGTGGCTTTTAGAATATCGGCACGCTCGCTTTCCTCTGGTAGGCCCACATAGAGAATTGTGTCCAAACGACCTGGACGCAGAATGGCTGGATCGATTATATCGGGTCTATTGGTGGCCGCCAAAATGTAAACACCCTTGCGCTCCTCCACGCCATCCATTTCCGTCAGCAGTTGGTTGACAATGCGTGTCCCTGAGTTGTTGCCATCGCCGCCTTCGGAACGCTTGGGACAGAGCGAGTCGAACTCGTCGAAGAAGATGACGCAGGGGGCCGAGTTCCTGGCACGTTGGAAGCAGGCGCGCACAGCACGCTCGCTCTCACCCACATACTGCAAAATTCCAGGATAGATTAGCTTTGACCTGAAGAGTATTCCGATTTCCAGTAACTCACCATATTCATCAGCTCTGGACCCTTCACCGATATAAAGTTAATGCCAGCCTCATTGGCAATGGCCTTGGCCAAGAGAGTTTTGCCGCATCCCGGCGGACCGCAGAGCAAGACTCCAGAAGGAGCGGTCAGTCCGAGGCGTTCCAGCATGTCCGGATATTTGACCGGCGCCAGCACAGCTAGCTTCAGCTCTTCGCGAATATCGTGCAAGGCTCCAATATCCTCCCAAGTAGTGTCCGGCACTGTAACGAAGCCCTCACGCTTGGCGGATGGCTGCATTCCCTTGATGGCTTCCAGGAAGTCGGCCAGGGTGAGGCAGAAGTTTGGATCGGAGAAGTCGTCGGGGGGATTGTCTAGAAAGTTGGTTAGCTCAGCCAGTGTAGGCTCGTAATATTCGTTTTCGGAGGAGCTCTCCTTGGAAGGATCGTTCTCCTTCTCATCTTCGTCCTCCTTCTCATCCACCTCCATTTTAGAGTCCGTTGATTTCTTTATTTTGCCATTAGTCGGCGCGGCCTCCTTGGAAGCTTCAGTTTCGGTTTTAGCTGCCATCTCCTCCTCCTTATCATTAGATTTATCTTTTTCATTGTCATTCTTTGGCGCTGCCTTTTGGGGACTCTTGGTTTCAGCTGCGACTACTATTTCGACCTCCTCCTTCTCCTCTTCCTTATTTTCCTCCTTATCGCCCTCAGCTCCGGCTTCCTTTTCGACCTTCTCTTTTTCCTTTTCCTCCTTCTCGCCATCAGCTTTGATTTTCATTTCGACGTCTTCCTCCTTATCCGCGTCACCCTTTGGCTTTACATCCACTTCCTTTTCGGAAACTCTGTCCGCTGCCTCCTCATCGTCATCCAGCGTGACAGTGGTCATATTCAGCTCATTGGCCTTGTGCAGTTCCCGGAACTTCTTCAGGGACCTATTCTTCACGGCCACGTGGGCGGCACGGCAAACGAGGGCCATTAGATCGGCGCCCACATAACCTGGTGTTAGCTCAGCTATCTTGTCATAGTTCAGTTTGGGATCAACGGTCAAGGTTTCGCACTGAAGACGGAGGATCTCGCGCCGCTCCTTGCGCGTCGGTATGCGTAAAGCAAATTCGTGATCGAAGCGACCGATACGACGCAGGCCGGGATCTAGGACATCAGGACGCGTGGTGGCAGCAATCACTATCACTGAATGGCCAAGCTCGTTCATCCTCATGTTATCCAAGCTGCTTATCAGCTGCGATACAATGCGGCGATTCATGTCCTTGGCAGCGTGTTGGCGGTCACCGGCAATGGCATCGATCTCATCAATAAACAAAACACAAGGCGAAAAGGACACGGCCTGTTCAAAGACCTCGCGTATGCGCTCCTCGGACTCACCGGATATGCCACCAACTAGCTCAGTGGCCGGCACTTCAAGCAGCGGCATCTTCAGTTGCTACAGGAGACGGTAAACAGAGAGACATTAGCTATGACCAGTCAGGATAAGGCTTAGTATCTACAAAACTCACTCCACTTATGGCACGGGCCAGAAAGGTCTTGCCGCAGCCGGGTGGTCCGTGCAGCAGGATACCCCTCGAGGGCATCAGTCCCAATTGAAAATAGAAATCCGGCGACTTAATGTGTATGAACATCTCGCAAAGCTCCTTAAGCGTATCCTCCATGCCGCCAATTTCGCGGAAACACTCCGTGATGTGCTGCACATCTATCTCTTTTTTGTACTTACGGTGTCGGTTGGAGGAGCCTCGATTCGATTGATGATTATTCTGCTGCTGGTAATTGGACTTGCCCGAATTAACAGCAGAATCGCTATAGACAGACTTGAGTGCCTTATTCACAGGCTTTGGGACTGTGGCATCGTTACCAACACTGCCCTGAATGACATTCGGCTTGGCTGCTAAGGAAATATAGAATATTATAGAAATATTTGATGAATAGTAAAGTTATAAGTCATACCTTTCTTGGCAACCACCGGCATCTCTGGCTGATCGCTCATTAAGCGCTTCAACGCGTTGCCCTGCGTAGGTGCTGCTACTGCTGCTGCTCCCGATGCAGACGCAGTCAAAACAGGAGGCACATTTGGACCCGTAACTTCATCCACAGTCTTAGCGAAACTGTCGCCATTTAAGTTCTTTGATTCGATGTTACGGAGGTCTTCATCTCCACTAGATATATCAATGGGTTCACTGAATGTTTTAAATGCCGGCTTCCGGTCTTGTGAATACAAACTATTCATCATATTGCTCATGACACTGTTGTTTGTGGTGGGTTGGACCTCGGAGTCCTGGCTGGAAGTGCCTTCGTCAGAGCTTTCCACCTTGTCCAAGCAATAGCTTTCCGAGATGATGGAGAAAGCTGAGAAAATAAATGTAATAGAAAAAAAATCTCTCAGGCACAGGCCACGCCTCCTCCATGGCTTACCCTGATGCACCAATTGCTTGAAGGGACCAAATTTGCGACGCCTATAGTCCGGATATGTGTTCATCAACTCCTTGGTCATCTGCTTTATATCCAGGTAGGTCTCGCCGACGTGCTCCTCGAGGTACTGCCGTTGCGAATCGGAGGGTAAGAGAAATTAGAACAGCCTGCGACCTAACCTTGTTTTTGTGGTGCCCATATTCGGCGCCCTTGCAAAAGGGTTTTTTTTCACTTTTCCTCGCGATTTGCCGGCTATCGGCACTGGCCTGCGGCGCGGCGTGGCGATGGGAAAGGGAAAAAACTACTCACGGATGAAGCTAACCCACCTTCTTGACGCGGTTCGATATCAAAGTGTCATGCAGCAATGGCTTGGTCTTCTCCATATTATGCGAGGATTAAAGAAAACAACACGAAAAGAAATACAATTTGCCGCTCGCGAAATGCAAACGACGCCTACACCTCGATAACTTCTTTTGGAACGTTTCCACTCACCTGCGTTTCTGGTTAGGCCGCAGCTATCGATAGTTTTAGAAACAAATTTTAAAAATAAAAATAATTTTATTTTTAAATTTAGGAGAACTCGTTGAACTCTTCACGAAAATCAAAAACAAATGACTATGGGTAGCAGTTCGTTTTGGCTTGCCAACTTAGTGCAATTTACACAATGACATTAAAGAAAAGGCCTTGTGCTGTCAAAATTAAATTGCGTTGTACTTATAAAAACACTTAACACTTAATGAACGCTTACTTTAGAAAATTAAACAAGAATTAGTACTTACAGATACAGTTTTCACTCCACTGGGGTTTTTTTAAAAGCACAATTTTATGTTTTGTTTTGTTTAAGTCGGATAAAAACGTTGTGCTCTCCAGTGGAGCTGGGAAACTATCGATGGTACTATCGAGGTATCGACTTTTTCCTTTTTTTGAGCCACCATCGATAGTTTTTTATCACTATCGATAGTACGGGACTATTTTTATATCTCTGCTTTGTTGCTGAAATTTAGTAAGAAAAATGCAAACAAATATATATATATATGTATATATATATTTTTTTTTTTATAATAAAAATGTATTCTAAATTAACTTAAATTGGAGTTGGTGGTGAAAAATATTAACTGAATCTCAAAAGAAAGGGTGCGTCTACGCCACGTCTTCAGAGTCTAAGCGTATGTTTAGCAATGGTAATACAATTTTATTTGTGCAAAGTTGCTTGGATAGAATATTTATGTTAATTACTTAGTCAAAACATATTGAATAGTATTATAATTCTATTTGAAATTGCTATAACTTTAATTTGCAAAAAGAATCGTAAAAAAACGATACTATCGATAGTATCGAATTTTCGTTTTCAAAACATCGAAAATATCGAATGGTGTCACTATCGATAGTTTCCCAGCTCTACTCTCCACGAAACTCAAGTGAAAATTATTACGGCTAGCAGTTCTTACTTTGCCTGCCAACTCGGTGCACTTAACATGAACTCATTGTCATGGCTTCTTTGATTAAAAACAAATGCGATAGGCAAATTTCGAATTCGATTTATTGACTGGCGAAATTGATCTCAATTTAAAAAGAACTCTTAAAAACCAATGTCTAGCATAACCTTAAAAGAAGAATCTTTAATTTAATGTAATTATCCTTTCCGCATTTCTGTATCGATAGTCCCCAAGCTATCGATATCATCGCGGCAACCGTACCATCCCCAATCAGCTGGTCGCAGTTTCATCTCGCTCCGTCGCGCTCTCCCCGCCTCTCGCTCTCTCGCTCGCTCGCGCACAACTGAGTAGTCGCTGGGTTTTTTTTTACAAAGTACCCAAATTCAATGTGCTTTTACATCAACAAACGCTGGTCCGCGCAATAAGTGAGGTGTGTGAATTATGCGGCGCAGCAGCAGCCTGAAATGATGCACTCCGCCAGCACCCCGAACTGAGCACTGATCTAGTTGTTGTTTAATTAAATCACAATCCCCACAAATCTGAGCGAATAAAGAACTGAACTGAACAAAAAAGAAAGCGCGATGTGCGACGGTGAAATTTGCGAGCCAGTGACTCAGCCACGTTCCGAGGGCGGCGGCGGTGGATCGTCCGGAGCGTCGGAGCAGGAACTGCGGGTGCCCTACATCGATAAACAGCCCGGCGAGATCCACCTGACCAACGGTGGAACACCTGCAACGCCGACCCCAGTGCAGGTGGATCCCCTCCAGGTAGCCCACTGGGCCGTGGAGGACGTGACCAGCTGGGCCATTCAAACCGATCACTTCTCGAAAATCTTACTTGATTGCCTGCGCCTGGAGGCCGTCGACGGTGAGGTCCTGCTCTCCCTCACCGAGGACGACGTCCGGGACATGCGCTACCGCCTGGGATACAAGCTCACCTTTGGCGAACTGAAAAAGTTCTGGATTGCGGTGCTGCGACTCCAGCTGCTGGTGAAGAACAGCTCTGCGGATTCCGTGTTGCTGGGCATCGAGAGCCACGGCGGCCATTCCGTTTACCTGCCGCTGGCCACATCCGCTGGACCGCCTTCCTCCTCAACGTGTCCCTGCCCGCAGCCCGAGTGCCCCAGCACAGTGTCCGACTGCGATACTTACATGCGCATGGGCGGACGCTATGTGACGCCCGAGTACTTCAAGACCGCCATGAGCTTAGGTGAGTCCGCCTTCCACGGCCGCCCCCTTTCAATTATGAAGGTCAATTGTTCATTGATTGTTTCTCTGGGCTTATCGGTCGTGTGCCAATTGGAGCGTTTGCTATAACGCAGTTGGTTGCCAAAGTCTGCCTAGCACACCACTTCCCTTCTGATAACTCTGAGAAATGAGAGTTTTCCCCATGCAGTTTTGTGTCATAAATGCTCAAGTTTCTCAGTTATTTGTCTTCTTTAAAGCAAATCTTAATTGTAATAATGTGCTTTACTGCGGAGACTTTTAATAATTTTAATTATAAACCCATTTTACGTCATCATAACCGTGAAATTATTGGTTTTGCCCGTGCATTTAAATGTCATGCTTGCCAAACGTGGCTAATTAAATTCATATTTTTTATTACACGACAATGTATAGTAGTAGTATTAGTAGTTCGCGCACTTCTAGCAAGTATTCAAAGCACTTTTAATGGGTTTACTAAAAAATAAAGGGTTTTCGAAACACTAGGCACTGATCCCTTTTAACAAAACACTTCCCAGTTGATAAGAGGCTATCCCCTCGTAGTTCATTGTCGCATAAAGTACTTGAACTATTTATGATTGCCTACGTCACTTGGCGTTATATATAGCAATTCAGAATAAGCATTTCCCATAAGAGAAATAGTTTGGCACTGCAAATAGCTGTCGAAATAAGCTAATTTCTGTTTAAAAATTACTTAATTATGGCTTTAAGAAACATGTTATTTGTTAGAGTTTAGTAAAACGCAAAATATATTGAGAAACTCTAAGATTTTAACTAAAATATGTGGCAAAGCAGATACGCCTTTTCCATATTTTTGTAAAATTTCCAGTAAAAATATTTAAGTTCTAAAAATAATAATATAATCTTTCTCCCCACCCATACTCTTTCGATACGGTAATCTCATAGGAATAGGCTTCTGTCAGAGTTCAATGTCAGACTCATTATAAATGGCTAACTAAATGCGTCACTTTAGTTATAAAATTAGTTGCTAAACTTTCCACGAAATCGTAATTGGGCACCCAGTTCCTTACTTACCCAGAAATAAAGGGCTTCCCTTCGGGAACCAGCAAAAACAATCTAATGACATTATACATTGTACATCCTAATACGTCACTCTAATTATAATTATAGTTTCTAGGCTCTTGTGACGCGTTACTGTTATTTATTTTGAGCATTTTGGAGGCTATAAGTGGAGACACCGCTCGCATTTATTTATGTACTCACTTGGTAATCTCACCTCTCGTTCTGGCTTATATTGTTTTTAGCCATGTGCACGGCGTTTGTGTAACTTTGCGTGCATTAAATTTCAAATTCCGATTTGTTTATAGGCTACCCTTCAATCGGCTGACTTACTTTACGGGGAAAAGTCCGCAACAGTTTAGCGACAACGAAAACATAAACACAGTTGACAATCAATTGCCTTGTTAAAGCTTTTAGTTATCAAGTATCAATTCATATAATTTCATAGAGTGTTTTGACGCTGGCCTAAAGTTTAGTTCTTGAATAAATAAACATTAAAACATTTGCTACATAGACTCCCAGTAACCTTATTTCCCAACCTAGTAACCCCATTTTTCCTTCAAAAAGAGCATTTCGAATACTCAAATTAACATAAGTTGGCACTTACCATGTTATCTAGGATAATTCCCTATCAGGCCATTATTTTTGAGATAATGCCATTATCATTACAGGCTGTGTTTGTTTTGGTTTCTCTTTTCATGGCCATTTCAATAGATAAGTCAAAATTTGGACAGATAAAGGAACCCGCGAAGAGATAATTCCTTTCTTAGGCAGTCAAAATGTTATTTCTATTGCGTTTTGAATTTCAAATTAAAATTGATTGTTCGAAATTTCTTATAATCCTTAAATTATTAATAAAAAATTATTTTAAAATACAACAGTTTAGAGCTAATTTTTCCATTTTCCCATTAATAGAGTTAGTCACAGTTTCTTGATCCACTTAGTAACTGATATTTTGGCCTTATTGCAGCCTATTCGTTCGTGGTTACCTGGATAACGTCATTCGTCATGGTGATCGTGCACGAGCGAGTGCCGGACATGAAGCGTTATCCCCCGCTACCCGATATCTTCCTGGATAATGTACCCCACATCCCGTGGGCGTTCAACATGTGCGAAATCACCGGAACTCTGCTATTTACCGTATGGGTTGTAGTTCTGATCTTCCACAAGTACCGCATGGTGCTTTTGAGACGCTTCTTCGCCCTGGCGGGCACGGTTTTCCTGCTGCGCTGCGTCACCATGCTGATCACCTCGCTAAGTGTGCCGGGAACGCATCTGCAGTGCAGCCAGAAAGACTTTGCCGTCGATGATCCCAATGTGGACATGGTGGGCGCATTGATCATTCGGATGACGCGCGCCTATCGCATCTGGAGCGGCCTGGGCATGTCCATACAGGGAGTGCGCACCTGTGGCGATTACATGTTCAGCGGTCACACGGTGGCACTCACCCTGCTCAACTTTTTTATCACAGAGTGTGAGTACATCAATGAGATATCTTATGTTTTAGATTTAATAACATCTCTGTTGGTCCCTGCAGATACCCCGCGGAATTTGTACTTTCTGCACACGCTCACCTGGCTGCTCAACATGTTTGGCATCTTTTTCATCCTGGCCGCCCACGAGCACTACTCCATCGATGTGTTTGTGGCCTTTTACATCACATCGAGGCTGTTTCTTTATTACCATACTTTGGCCAACAATCGGGTGAGTACTGTAGGGCTTCTGGATTTGCTAAGATGCCAACTAACCAAGTTCTCTTCCACCTCCTTAGGCTCTCATGCAAAGCGACTCAAAGCGGACGCGAATTTGGTTTCCCATGTTCAGCTACTTTGAGAGCAGCGTCGATGGGATGGTGCCCAACGAATATGATACGCCCGGCTCACTTATCGATGGCATCATAGATCAGATATTCTGGATCAAGGATCAAGTTATCATAACCATAAAACGCATCTGGGTAGATGCTCATTCTCCCCTGTCCTCCAAGTCATCGATTCAGATCTTTGGCTCGGATTCTAATGAATGTGTGCACAACACAACCACCTTCTTTAGTCCAGTACCTTCGGCATCTGGTGGCCTCAACAATGCGGCAGCTACTGGCACGGCCACAACAGCGCCGGTGTCGCCAAAGAGTCAGGCGCAAGGGAAGGCCTTCAGGGACATCAGCGTGGATCCATTATCCAGGACGACATTCGCCGCCCCTTCCCCTTCCGACGCTAACTCGCAGTCGGTCGCCAAGGATACGCCGCTAAAGCAGAAGAAGGTGCTCTGATTTCCCCAGCCGTTGGCTCTTCCAAACCCGCTTACTCCGTTCTTCGAAAAGCAACAATATGCTGAAATCAACCACAACACCGACTGATATTTTTATTTCGAAATTTCCCCTATTTCCGCCTTCCCCTACTCCCCTCCCAACTGTTACAGCACGTCCTCCTAATCCTAATCCTGCTCCTCCATTGTATTACTGTATGCATTCTACCATTCGTAGTGCCTTCCGGGTCATTCCCCCACTTCTAGAACGTCGCCAGAGCCTTTCCCTTGCTTCTCTTTGCGGGAGACTCTCCATATCGGCTGGTAAACGATGAAGAAGATGTTTTTGAAACCCTCCTCATTCCGTTCAATTCGGCTTTGAACTAAATGTATTTATTAATTGAAGAAGACTTCTAATGCATTATTATTATGTAATTGTAAGCATGTGAAACAACTGTATTTTTAGTTAATTAGTGATAAGTTTGGAAAGTTTTGTTGAACGCACAAGAATCAATAAATGAAAATGAATATTTCCAACGCCTGTATGTGTGGGAGAGGCTACAGAGGATCAACAAAGATCTTATATTAACAAGATGCATAACGCTCGTACTTTTGAGTTGTCATAACCAAGCAATTTTTCTGTAATATCAGTTTGTGCCTCTGGTATAAATTTTTAAAAAATAATTTGCTGCTAACTAAAAAAAGAATTTTATTGAGGCTTCTAGTTTAAGGTCTTCCAAGGAGTAGTCTTCAATATAAACTAAGTTTGGTATAAAAGTAAACTAGTTTGTTGTTCTAATTTCATAAAACAAAGGCATATCCTACGGCTAAAATAGATCTTGTAATGAATAAGATGGGTAACGGGCCATATGCAAGTAATTTGCTCGCACAAATCTGTAAATAGAATGCATAAAGCTGCAAGTTTGTGTGTGGAGTATGAAGGACGGTTTAATAGCTTTAAAAATGAAAAGACCAGCGGGCGGCGGCTTCTACAATTCATCATTTTATTTTGTTGGTTTTTCTTCTCTTTTTTAATATAAAAATGGCATTTCTTTACTAATTTTAAGTTTAAATTACTAATGTAAAGTATGTATGATTGCGGTAATTTGAAAAATATATATATATATATCATTTATATGTCATCCTCATATACTTGTATATATTCTTCAAGGTGTGAAAAAAATATTTAATGAACATGAACCGTCTCTTCTGTATCAAGCGTATATAATATGTATTTATGAAAGCGTTTAATTTGACTTAAAGAATAACGCATTTTTTCCCGTATTTCGTAAAGCAATTTTTTTTTTTGTTTTTTTTTTTTGTGTTTACATTACTTTGCGATAATTCACATCAAAGGAAGAAACAATTAACAAACGATATAATCGAGAGAAGAGACAAGTACAACTAATATACGATGCAAAAATAAACTATGAAAAGTGTGTACTTCATGAGTAGTGAGTTGTTCTCTTTGTGTATATTCCTCTCGCAGGCTATACTATTTCAAAAAACAATATTTTTTTTATATGTAGTTTGATGCCTTATTTGCTACATGTACCTAACATATTGTTACCGATTCGGCTTTTGTGTTATGTACGAAGCTAACGTTTGAGGTTTCATTGAATCGTTCTCGCTACGGATGCACCTTCATCGCATTATTATTATATGTATCTGTGTGTGCATATATGTAGTTCTTTCATTTAAGATATTTGTCATTTTTATTTAGAATTTTCGTTATGTGAAAAACATAAATTTAACAAGATTATTGGTTGGTTTTTTTCTTCTTCTGTTCTCTTTTGACGCTGCTTGCGGTTTAATTATTCATCTTTTTCGCTGCTGCTAACCGATACAATATATAATGTATGTAATTCTAGGCGTAAACTATAACTGCTTCCTTTGCATGTATTTCAAAATATATATTAAACACAATGTCGTATGCTGTAGTTTTTTTTCTTTTTTTGTAGTTTTTGTTTGTTTTTAGTTTCCTTATTTGTTTTTGTTTCTTTTCTTTTTAGTTTAAATGAGGGCTGTTGTTGCTGTTGCGGTAGATCTACCGTCACATAAGATCGTAGTGCAATTATTAATTTCTGTTTAGTGAGGCTCGAGAGCTCCTCACACAGCCTTACGACAGATCTGAAAAATAGAATAGTGAAAATTTAGTAAAGATTTTGGCAAGGAGATGTGGGAAAGGGAAACTCACAGCTAGGCGCTGCCTCGTAGCGGCGCTGTATCTGATCGTATGTGAACTTGACGAAGGCATCGTACTGCTCGGCCAGCTTGGCAGTCAGCACGGACTCGTAGCGCTCGCGCAGCTGATTCTCGCGCTCCTTGATCATGCTCTCGCAGATGAGCTGCACCTGTTTGAACGTAAACAGTGCCTTTTCACCGTGACGCATCAGGTTCGGTGGGCTGTCCGGGCGGCGCGGGCTCTCCGGTCCCATCTCGGATCCGCTCGACTCCGAATCCTGCATGCGCTCCAAGGCGGCTGCAGTGATCGGCAGCTGTTTGCGCTTGTGCAGTCTCTTGATCTCGTTGCACAAGTTCTCGGCCATTTTGTCTGCAAAAAATGAAAAATTTAAGTAGCTGCATTATCTTACTATGTTATAGCTTACCTGGCGACATCTTGGCCAGCGATGCCTCGCTGAATGGACTCGGCTCGGTGGTGTCCTTGGCGAATCTGTTGCTCGGCGTGTGCGGCAGCCCGGCTGAGGTGCTGGGACCATCGCGGTCGCGGGACGGCGATGCGGGACTGGCGCTGTTCCCGGCCTGGCCGAACGGATTGCAGCGACGGCGCTTCGGTGGGCGCTGGTTCATCGACTCCCAGTCGAGGGCGCGTTTCAAAGTTGCACAGGCCATCGCTATGATTGTGGTTCTCCGCGAAGCGGTCCTTGTGGAATTATAGCTAGATCGATAGTGGTCAGTTGCTGATTGTTGCCTCGAATTCTATGTCGGACTCGGGATGCACTGGAAGCTGAGACGTTGTCTGTAACGGGGAAGCAAACAATGAATGAGTGAAGTGAACACCTTGCTGGGAGATGAAATGCCTGAAACTGGTTTCAAGGAAAAACAGGATTCACTTGCCGCACACATACACACGCACGCACAGGCAGGCAAAAGAAAATACAATAAAAGAAAATGGTGCAGCGATTTATGGCCTGCTGGCAGTGTTGGCCCTTTAACCATTTCCAGCTATATTTAGATGTCAAATTAAACGTTTCTTTATCTTATCACTTCTGGGCCATGGTTTTTGAAGAAATAAACCCAAGTGAGTGAAAGATAACTAAGTAGATGCTTCAATGCTAAAAATAAAGTGAATAAATCAAAGAATATATCGTGCTGTACAAGTAAATTATAAGTCATTTATAAAGATTATAATAATAGGAACTAGTCCCATATCGAAATATTATAAGAGATCAAAAACATCACAAACTATTTTTAGAGATAAAAAATATTGGAAAGTGGAAATATCTCTTAATATCTCTTATAAGATATTCAAATTTTTTTTATAAATAACAGAATAAATCAACGCTAAACAAGAAAAAAAAAAGCTATTAAGAGGAGATTAATATTGCCCAGCGATAGCTTTTCTAAGAAAACAATTTAAAAAAAAAAATAACTAAAACCCCAATAAAATGTTTGCTTTAAGATGCCAGTAATGACGCTGACAACCGAGATATTCACAGCAAAAGAGAAGTGGCAAAAAAGAAGCAAACAAAATTAACAGGTGTCTATCGATTTTCACATTCGCCTAGAATTTACAACAAAATAAAACTAATCATAGTAATTTGTAATGGGAAAACTATTCTTTTATAAGAGTTTTTAATTACAAAAGGTTTTTAATTTAGGTTATTTTTCCTGCAAGCTTCCAATTCTCCATAATTATTTCGAGTTTTCCATCAACTGAAAGCCCTACTGTACTTGGCTCAGCGGTCATAAATCATGCTAATGGATTTAGCTACTCTTTCTGACCCTAACTTTTTCACTGCCAGCTTTTTTCCGGCCAGAAACCGACCTGCACCGCTGTCCTGCAAGCAGCTGGGCTGCTGTCGCCGCAGGAAAAGGGCGATTCCGATTCAGAGTCCCTAAAGGAGGAGAAGAAAACGAAGAACCGAAGAAACGATGTATGTGGCGCAGCGCAATTAAAGGACGGCGGACCATAAAAACCACCACGACAAAGGCAAATGCATAGCAATGCAGACAAGGGCGCAGCGGTGTGGCAGCAAAGAATGAGGAGTGTAAACTGTAATCCAATGCCAGAACACGAACAACCACCGTGGAAACTACGCAGGATAATGTGCGTGTTCTTCGTTTCCCATTCTCTTGCCCCACTCTCCTTTCCGTTGCTTCTTCGTTGCAGCGGCAGCTGTACCAGCTGTTTTTCACACACACACACACACACACAATCACACTTATATGAGAGCACACCCGAGAGTTCGATTGACCGAAATCGTCCGCAACACGTGTGTGTGTTTAAATGCATGTTCGCTCTTTCGAAGCAATTTTCACCTTATTTTGTAGGTTTAACAATATTTAATACGTTATGGGGTTTTTACGTGACAAATACCACGCCAGAGATTAGTTTATAGAAACCGAAATGACAGTAGCAGCAGCAGCAGCAAGCTAATGCGATCACAATGGTCGTCTCGCTCTCGCACACACACACACGCACACAGTTGTGAGTTGGAATGTTGATTTCGTGAAATTTTAAAAATGGTCGAAACGCATATCATTATCAGCACAGCTCCCTGGAAAGCTGGGCACTTTTCACACCATTGCACTTACGTTAATTGGCTTTTGGGCGCTGCGATGACTATTTCCGTTATATCTTGCGTTCGCTTTCTGCACCACTTCACACGCGCTTTATTTACTTTTTTATTGTGCCACTACTCCGCTGGCACATACGCACGCACATTAGGGTCGCAACTTTAATGGACTCTTTAAAGTTTAGTCTTATATTATTAAGTAGTAGTATTGCTTGCTAGTTGTTTTGAGCAGTATTTCAAAGGCCACTGAAATGCACTGTCTGTAGGTTCTGCTGTTATTTTACAAATTTTTGTCTCGCTTTGGGATTCTTGGGAAAAATGGACGACGATGCGTGCGTGATGGAGCTATAAAGAGATGTCACTATCGGTATTTTCAGTGTTTTTGGCGATACATCGATATTATTTTCCAACATTGAAATAACACGGATGAGATTATTTTTTATTTCTAAATTTACAACACTAAATAATGAACCGTTAAAATTAATTAAAATTTTGTTTAATACAGGTTTAGGGATATTTAACATTTAGTTCTATTAAAAAGACAAGTCCTGATAACAGCTAAATTATTGCAGTGCCAAATGTGGCACTTTTTTACATTTTGTTGCTGTGAAACGGCTAGAGTTGGCTTATTAAATAATACAATTTATAAAATAATTGATTTTAAATGTATATGTTTAACTATCTTTATTAAATAAAAATTTATATATATTTTAATAAACTTTTAAAAAATTGCCAGGGTTAATTTTGCAGTTTTAGCTTGAAACTAGCCAGTTTGGCACCTCTGCCGGATTGTTGTTACGCGAGCGATTTTTTAGTTTTTATTTCTAGTTAAATTTATCAAAGAAATTGTCTAGAATGTTGGCTCTACGCAGCGCCCCGAGGTTGAGCTTTCGGTGGGCTATAACTTTGCACAATAAAATCTCAAGAAAATAATTCACAATATCCGTTTTCACTGCCAGTTCCCTGCTGCCGGCTGCCTACAAAAACGTGGGATTGGCCAGCTACTCCTCACAGTCCAAAAACGACGATGGCTACTCCTCCTCGGATGACGAGAAGCCCACAAAGAAGAAGGATAAGCCTGCGGAGACGGCGGCTCAGCGTTTGAACCGTCTGCTGGGCACCATGCAGGCCACAGATCAGCTTTCTCCAGCGGACTTTCCACGTCCTGGCGATGCCACTCGTCGGCGCAGGGAGGCCCAGAAACAGGAGGCAGCGTCCAAGAATGTCCTCACTGCAGCAAAGAACATTGCCAGCATGCTGGGCACCAGTGAGAGCGACAAGAAGCAGACCGAGTCGGAGCTGCTGGCTAAGCTCCTGGGACACGGCAGCGAATCTGCCCCAGCAACGTCGGGGGAGGATCAGGCGGCAAATGCTACAGCAGTTCCAGCTGTCGAAAAGGATCTCAACCTCAGGTGAAGATTATTTTAAAGCAACAAAATATACAAATTATATTTTCTGACTTTCGCCTGGCAGCGAGCTGATTGTAGGCATGAAGATCGATCGTCGCCAGCAGCCGCAGCAGCTGGAGCAGACTCGCGGCGAGTACGTTCGCCGTTCGTTGGCCTCCCGAGCAACGTCGCAGTCGCGGGATCGCCACCAACAGCAGCGCCCGCAGAGGCACATTAAGCGCGAGGCTGAATCCTTTACGGGCAGCGTCAATTTGTATGGCGGCGAGCCGCTCGGAATCTTCAAGGAGGACGCCCAACAGCTACCCATCTCCAACGACATTCTGACCACCTGGTCGCACCTAAATCAGCGGGAACTAAGCCTGCAAGCTGCCCATCCGCCGGCCAACTACTTCGAGCAGATGGTTCTGTGGACGGACCAAGGCAAGGTCTGGCGCTTTCCCATCGACAATGAGCAGGACTGGTCGGACGAGGACGTGAACGTCGACTTCTCGGAGCACATTTTCCTCGAACAGCACCTCGAGGGGTGGTGTCCCAACCAGGGACCCATTCGCCACTTCATGGAACTGGTTTGTGTGGGTCTGTCCAAGAATCCCTATGTGACGGCGCAGGAGAAAAAGGATCATATTCTGTGGTTCCGCGATTACTTCGAGGCCAAGAAGGACATACTCAAGGATCTGATAGCCAAGGAGCCGAAGAGCAAAAGTATTTCCGCTTAAAGTCTATGTTTTTGAATATTTGTTAAAAATATATTTTTGCTTTATAAGACCGACGATATATAGAGTATATATATATACATATATATATATATTTGATATTGTGTAGAAATATGTGTGTGTAAAGTGTATAAACCTAATACTTCGAAGGCTGTGCAGAGGACTGTGCGCGGAATGTGTGGGCAGCCGGCGGCAATCGGGGGCTTCAGAACAACAGGATACGCTTCTCCACCGTCTTGCGGCAGATGGGACAGCCCTCGATCTGGTCGCCGCACATCTGGCATGTGCCATGGCCGCACAGGAAGACCATATTCTTGATGCGATCGAAGCAGACGGGGCACATGGTCTGCCAAACAAGGAAATCATTAATTTTGCATCACAGAAATCGTCAATCCAGCCACTCACCTGCTCCTTGATGTCCTGCAGCTGCTGCTTCAGCTTCTGCACATCGTCCATTTGGAAGTTGTTGACATTGGATGGGGCCACCATCACGCTTCCAGCAGCTGCTGCTGCGGCGAGATTCGACATATTCGAGGAGGCGGCTGCCAGTAGATTGTTTTGACTGTTTAACTGATTACCGCTGCCGGCAACCGGCGTGACTACCGTGTTGTTCATGGGCATGCTATGGCTGCAGGCTGCTGCTGCTGCTGCCGCCGCCGCAGCTTCCATAAATCTCTCGTCGGGCAGCGGCAAGCCCACACCACCTCCAGCAGCCGCCGCCGCCGCTGTAACCTTCTCCGGCCTTCCGATTCCCCCGCAGCAGAGACTGAACGACAGCATCTCATCGATCTGGGTGCGACAGAGGACGCATTTCTTCATTAGGGCACTGCAGTGCTCGCAGGCCACCATGTGGCCACAGGGCCGGAAGAAGACCGCTGCCCGGCGATCCGAGCAGACCAAACACTCGTCGATCTTCTCGCGGGAGGAGACTGTCTCGCGACAAATAAGGCACTTCTTCACCCTGGGAGCGCAGGTCTCACAGCAGCTGACATGGCCGCATGGCTTGAAAACCGTATCCCTCTTAGCGTCCGAGCAGACCAGACACTCATCCAGGCTGGCCGATGATTTCGGGGGATCCACATGCAGGGATTGGCTCATTTCATTGGTGATTCCATTAAGCCCAAAGGCGGAGGAGGTGGAGGAGGAGCCGCCGGCAGCAGCAAAAGTAGAGGAAGCCGACACACTGTTCAAGGGTATGTTGGCTGACGAAGATTGATTCAGGCTGCCGCCACTGGCGGCTCTTGCCCTGGCATTCGAACTGGTGCCAGCTACATTGCCGGGCAGCTCGGAGTCATCGGTTTTCCGCTCATTATAGCACTTGACCAAGGTCTTGCAGAGATTGGGATCCGGACAGAGATCCAACGGTGTCTGCTGTTTGCGATTCTTGAGGGTTAAGTCAGCCCCGTTGGCAGCCAAAAAGCAGGCAATCGATGCGGATGCCTTCTTGTTGTTGGCATTCCTTAGACCCATTAAAAGTTTACCAAATCCCTCCACGTCCTGGAGCTGTTTTAGCTGCGAGAGAGTGTGATGCCGCAGGGCTTCATGCAGCGGCGTATCCCCATCCTTGTCGGGTATATTCAGATCGGCGCCATCCTGTACCAGCAGCTTGACAATCTGAACATGCTGACGCTCCACCGCCAGGTGCAGAGCCGTCTGCAGATTCACATTCTGCCTGTCCATATTGGCCTTGCCCATGTGCACCAGCAGCTCGGCGATCTCCACGTGATTGTTCAGCGCTGCCAGATGAAGAGCCGTGTAGCCATCGTCCTTCTTCTCCTCCACAATCCAGGGACGATTCGTCTTGGTCAGCAGAATCTTCATGGCGCTGGGATTACCCTTGAGGGCAGCATGATGCAAAGCATTAAAACCATTGTTATTGTTCAGCGTTATGTCTGCCCCAAAGTCCAGCAGCAGGGAGAGCATCTCGTCGTGCTCCTTTGAAATGGCATCGTGCAGCGGTGTATCGCCCTCGGAGTCCTGCAAACTGGGATGGCAGCCCAGGGTGAGTAGGGTCTTCACCACATTCAAATGGCCCTTATTCACGGCAATGTGCAGCGAGGTTTGTCTCCGCTTATTTCGCGCATTTAAATCAGCTCCAGCCTTGGCCAGAATCTCTATAACAGCCGCCTCATCGCCAAAGGCAGCATGGTGCACAGCCCGGTCGCCATCCTTGTCCTCGATCTCCACGTCAACGGCGTGGCGCAGTAAGACTTGTATTACCTCAATGTGTCCATTCTGGCTGGCCGCCTGCAGGGCCGTGTGACCGGCAAACACGCCATTTACATTGACATCCGGACCGGAATTGGGCGAGGCACTAGATGTGGAGGGTTGTCCGGCGCCAGCCAGATACTCCTCGCAACGGGCCTGTAAAAGCAGAGGAGTTAAATGTGTTTATTATATAATCCTAATCCTTACTCACCGCAAATCCATTGGCTGCGGCCTTGACAAACTCCTCGGTGGCATCCCCAGAGACATTCGGCTCGAACAGTTTCTTGAGTATGGCTGAGAGTCGCTCGCCACTGGGGATGACTGGAGCACAGCTACCATCGGCGGCCGTAGAGGAGGCCACCTTGCAAACGGCCAGTGGATTGTAAGTCCACGATGTGTTGCCCACTTCGACCTTGAGGTCGTTGTCATGATACACCTGCTGCACTCTTCCGATCTTGCCCAGCGTCAACTGCATGGCATCCGCCCATTCGCCGTGTCCGCGCTGCAATATCTTGATGCTCTCGACGTCCGAACAGATCTTGACAATGTCGCCCACCTGAAATTCAGGCGGAGCTGTCGTAGGCGAGGATACCTTGGTTAAGACGGCTGGATTGAAGGTCCAACGGTTACCGGAATTATAGGCTACCACAATGTCGTGATCCTCGTCGATGCCCACCACCATTCCCGCATTGCTTAGACACTCGAACATGCCATCGGTCCAGCCGCCATGTCCGTGCTGCAGAGATTGCACAATTTCCAAATCCAGATCCACTGTGACCTTGTCGCCAATCTGAAAGCCATGTGGCCCCTTCCCTGGTCCGTTCTCGCCCAGGAGCGGCAGGTGATCCCGGTACACATTGCTGCCCTTGGCATCGTTGACCACCTTCAGATCGGCCATTCCCTCGAAGCCCACGCGATACAGATTCTTGGAGCCATTGTCCCAGATGACATAAGCAGCCGATCTTGGCGATGCCGATGACCAATCTTGGATTTCATTCACCTTACCGCGTCGCCCCACGCCGCCGTCTTGGTCCTCCCACTGCCAGTCCACGCCGCGGACAACACGGGCTCCTGGAAAGATGCCTCTGGCCAGGACTTTCTTGGACTTGCGACGCGGCTCCAGCATTGTTCGCTCGCCTCCGGGTGTGGTGATTCTATAGAATCGATGTCTCAGATGATGCTTATCTCCATGGTAGCAGATGGAGCACAGATCGTAGTTGATGCACTCGGCACACTTCCAGCGGATGCCAAAGATGGGCTGCTGACGGCAGGTGTCACACATAGTGCCCTCATGCTTGACGCCCGTGGGGGCGCTATCCAGAATCCGCAGATCGTAGGCGCCGGCACATCTATAGTTGGCCGCGGTGCCGTTGTCCCACACCACAACCACTTCCTCAGCAGACTCGAAATTGCGTACGGTGCCGACGTGTCCTTCGCCGCCATCCTGCAAAGGAGAACGAAAAGGAATTAGAGAGTCACTCAATCTTTCGATTTTTTGCAATTGCATAAGCCCGAGACCCACGCTGATTAGGATGCGAAAATTGTAGCTGAAGTGCATCACAATAGCAACTAAATAACCAAGTGTTAAGGTAGGCAAGGCAATCGCTAGTGATCGCCTGTGGTTATCTCCCCAAAGGGATCAAAGAGTCAGAAAAAAGTCGAGGGAATAGCTAAAAATGTAGCGAATATTTGAATACCTCAAGAAATGTATAAAATATGGTTGAAAACTGAATAAAAAGGCCGGAGTCCGGCTATAAAATGTGGAATATTTAATTTAATTTTTGATAATATCACAATTTTCTGTTCATTATCACTTAATTATTCATGAAAGAAAAAATGTCCTAATGTCCTGTTAAGTTCTACTTAAATCTTTAATATATTAAGTTCTACTTAAATCTTTAATATTTCCAGAAACTTTTTAGCCAGAATTTTACGTTAGTTATTTGCATTTTAAATATAAAAAAACGCAAATTACCATAAAATAAATAAAATGTTAATCATCTTGCAGCAAAACTCTTGATATTCTATTCTTTATTAAAGCAAATCCAATGGTAGCTTTTTATGCAATCTAAATTAGTCATAATAAAAAGCAATGTGTGACTTTATGAATTTCGAAAACAAAGCTTATCTTTTTAAGACTCATCGTTGATTAAAACAGTTAAGTTAAGATAATGCAATCATTTTATATCAAACTATTTATTAACTATGTTAATTCATTGACTGATTTAGCTCAAGAGTCTGGGATCGTTTTCCTTTCTATAGAAATCGGTGTCATCCTTGCAAGATCTTCTGAAAACTGGTTTAAACAGGTATGATAAGAAAGAGGTCAGCCTGGTCGCAATTTCTAGAGCTTAACTCTAAGGAGAACACAGTGGATGCTCTAAATTGTGTCACTATAATATAGTGAAATAATTCTATTATATTAAATATAGACGTTAAATTATAAGTAATTTGATTTAATTTTAAGAAAAGTTGTTTAAAACTGTTTATATAGCTAGACAGTTTCAGATAGTTAGTTTGTTTAGAGAATGTGATGTTAAAAAAATAATAAATAATTTATACTTTATATAATTTATCACAAATTTCTTTCCATAAAAAATTAAAACCAAAAGCGTTTTCCTTTCTATAGAAAATGGGTTGCATCCTAGTCGGATAAGTGGGAAAACTGGTTAGGAAAGGAACGTTTAGAAATTGCTTAGCCCCAACAGCGTTTCCCTGAACTCGATAGCAATAAGGCTACAGTGAAGATTCTAAATAGTTAATTTAATTAATTTGTATTTAAAAAACGAAGGTTTAATATATGAGAGCTAAATCAAGCAAAAACAAAAACCAACATTCACGATAGACATGACTAATTTGATGAGTAAAGTTTTGGAAAAACACTTTAATAAAAATTTGGTAACTTTTCTTGTATGTTTTGAAAGAGACAATTTTGAATTTTCTAGGGCTTAGGTTAATGTTTAACTTAATCACAGTTTAAAAATAATTTTTAAATATTATGTTTTTTTTTTTTTTTTATATTATATATATTTATACTTTATTTTCCGTTCCCTTTGGTTCTTTGAAATTATTATTTTTAATTTTTTTTTATTATTATTTTTAGTTCTTAAATTAATATTATTATAATAAAGGGTTGTAAAATCAATCACTCGGCGACATAATAATACTACATTAATTGCACTTTAATTTCCTTTTCCGTAAGTTACACTTAATTACATATATTAAAAAATATGCAAATCTGATCATTTTGAGACTTTTATCGATTCACTTAATAACCATGGCCTATATATTGGTGTACACTTTCACCGGGATATACTACATTTCACTCAGCGACTTTTACTAAGACATACAGCGATCCTTAGGTGGTGCAGGAGTAGTCCGCGACAGTTTCGAGCCAAAAAGCTGGACAGAAGCCTAGTCATCGATTCGGACGCGCGCTCTTGCAATTAAGGCAATTGATCCGGTCAATTGCCCAGGGGCGAGTGCTGCGACAAGCTGACGAGCTGCCGCCGCGCTGCGTCGCCGAAAAACCAAAGCACAAAACTTGACCCTCACCTGTTTGTTCCACTTCCAGTCCGGTCCGCGGATCACCCGCGCCCCCACTCCCTCCATGGAGAAGCGCCTGGCGACTGCTGCCGCCGAGTTAGCTGCTCCAGCTCCGCCGCCTGTCGTTGCTGCTGTCGTGGAGGAGGTGGTGTTCCCACTTGCAACTCCTCCTCCTCCTGCCGCAACGCCACCGCTGCTGCTGCCGCCCCCGCCCCCCGTTGCACTGCTCACTACCACACCCACAGCCGTCGATTGCTGGGTGCCCGTGTTGGTGTTTGTGTTTGTAGGTGCTCCGTTGGCCGCCGCCGCGTTCGTAGAGTCCTTGCCCGACGTGAGAGTGGCCGCACAAGACATTTTCCCCACTCCGGCACGGCTTTAAAATGATGGCAACAGACAATTTCTCGGGTTTTATCGCGTTGAAAATCGGAAGTCAAGGAATTTTTTTTGCTAGCGAGCCGACCAGTGTGACCGTCGCTGATCGATCGAAAATACCACAAAATAAGCTGCCAAGCTAAATGAGGAAAATACCGTAAAACTCACAGGTTGAGAGACATCGATGTTTTTCGATATTTGCAAAACATCGATATTTAATAATATTTTTATATGATTACAAATCAGAGCTAAAAACACCATAAGTTTCAAAAAACATTAAAAATAATGTTAAATCTAAATTTTTGTTAATTTGTTCATATTTTAACGAAGTCCTGAAATATTTTGTAAATCTAATTTTAATATATAAAAAATAGTAGTTCCATACACATATTACATGTTTTTTATTTGTTAAGTCTTTTATTTTATGTTTACAAGTCCAAAATTTACAAAAAACGTAAATACGCAGTTTACGAAGAAATGATCATATAAACAAGCTTTGTTTTTTTTAATACTAATGGTTTTCATTTATATTTTATAGACCATTTATAGATTAAATAAATTAAAATTAAAACATGAAATTAAAAACAACAAACAACCCAAACGCCTAAGTCGAAGTGTTAAGATATTGCTCTGGATTGGGCAGAAAAGCTTCAAGAAAAGCAATTCCTTTTGGCAAAAACTGAAGGTTTTCATTGAACAGATACAGTTCCGGCTGCAGGACGTCACTAAAGCAAATCTCCTCGACATTGGCTATTTGGACGTCGAAATTGGTCCGTTCAAAGCGAACAAGAGGTTCGTCCTCGATACATTTACGCACGGTCTTTCTTACAAAGATGCGATTTGATTGCCTGCAAAAAAATAAAGATCAATCGTACTACAAACCTTTCTCAGATCTATAAATAAATATGAACTCACCTCAAAAGCCTGGAGTTCGTCGCCGTGAGTACTGTCATCAGTTTGTGAAACGTTCGCTTGATCCCCACAACAATCTGATCGATGCGTTGGAGAAACTTTAGGAAACACTCCTCGCTACTACCCCCAAGTGCATCGGCGAGATTCGACGGCATCTTGAGACTGAGCTGAAAGTGTAGGTAGTGCTCGAATGATGTCCATCGCTCGAGAGGAACGCCAGCCGCCGCCTTGTCCTCCGCAACGGAGCACACGCGTATGGTCGACTCGTCCTGCTCGTCCAGCACGTTGTATTTGACCACAATGCGAAATGTCGTCAGCAGGCGGTGGTAGAATATCAATTGCCGGGATACCTTTAGCTGGAAGTCGAAGATCCAGTTGGGCTGCTGGTCGGCAAGCAAGCGATCCAGGCGATCGAAGAAGGACTCTCTCGACTTGGCAGGAGCTTTGTCTCGATTTCTTTGCAATTTTGATCTATTGGGATAATATAATGTTATATTTTTTTAATACATATTAATATATTTTTGAGCTGGAAAAAAAAATCAATTCTTAATCGATTTTAGAAAATAACATCGATTAAACGAAAACACAATTTCTAAACTATTAGCAATTACCTTGAGCTCTTGATCTTTTGCATTAGCTTTACTTTGTCCCAATGGAAAAGCCTCTCCTCCGCTTTCGTCTCGTCCAAGGACTCGTTCATTTCCGTTTCCTGACTCTTGATCTGCCAGTGCATTTGCATTTCATCAAAAGTTGGCTTCAGCCGCTGCCGGCGCAGTCGTTCACGGTCTTTGGTGAAGTTGAAGAGACTCAGTTGAGGCAGCACAAAGGAATCGCTGCTTCGCCTAGTCTCGCTCAAGGAAAGATTGCAGTTCCTGCACTTTCTGCACGAGGCACTGCTTCCGGCAATAACAAGTGGAGTTTTTTGGTCCTGGCAGAGGTCGGGGGGCTGGTGCTCTGGCTCCTCGAACTGTTCGTTTTCGGCGGTTTCCTCGGCCAGCGTGGAAACCAGACTTATCTGCTCGTTGTCTATCTGGTTTTGTGGTTCCATCTCGTCGCCCTCCTCCTCCTCCTCCTTATCCACATCTATGGCACCGGCAAAAATGGTGGTGTCGCCGGAGAGATTCATAAACTTGGTAGTGGCAACGGCATAGCTTTTGAAGGTTCGATCATTGGAGGAGCCACTTTCTCTGTCACTGGACTTGCGCTGCTCCTCCTGCTTCTCCTTCAGAAAGTAGTTGGTCACATCCGAGATGGTGATTGGCTTTTCCTCCAGCTCCGATGGCTGCGGAAACTGCAGGACATCATCTAGGGAGCTCACTTGACCCAACTGAGTCGGTCTAGCGTGATAATCCCTCACCGGCTGCACCGTCTCATCGAACTTATCGATCCTGAAGCTCGGAAGGAACTTATGCGCCTCCCCCTCCAGCGTACCATCCTCCATGTCAATCTCCATTTCCATTTGACTATCGGCAAAGAGCTGGGTGTGTCGCTTCTTCGACTTTGGCAGATTGGGTGTAAGATGTTTTGGCAGTCGCTTTTGATTTACCTGGCTTACCGGTGTCCCCAAACCCTGTGGTATCCCGCTCATCTTCTCCTCATCCTCGAATTCGCATAGCGACATGCCAGGCGTAATGGTAGCCATCATTTTGTATATCGATGTCAGCCTGGAATTGGGCTTGGGAGTGATTACCTGGGGATTTGGCTTCAACATGGCCTCCTGAGGGCTTTGGTAGTCCAAGGATTCAGGCTTATTTATTGATTTGAAACTCAAATCCTCAATAATTTCCTCTGACACTAGAATAGTATTTCTGGACTTTAAACGTGGAGGGGGGAGTTGGTAGGTGGATGGTGGATCTTCCTCGATTGGCTCAGCCTTGACAAGAGTTTGTCTCAATTTTTGCACTCGATATTGCAACGAGGAGGTCTCATTATGCTCTTGTAGGGTTTGGGTTTCTTCAATGGGTTCTGAATTTGCGATGGTTTTTCTAGGCTTTAAGGACTGGTACATATTAGTTGGCTCTCTTTCATGCGAGCGCAGATCCCCTTCAATGGGTTCCCCTAAGTAGGATGGAAGCTTATGTGAAACAATCTCATCCTCCTCTATGGGTTCCGATTTTATGATTGTTTTTCTAGGCTTAAAGGACTGGTACACAGTTTTTGGCTCTTCATGCGAGCGCAGCTGCTCTTTAATGGGTTCCTTTGGCCGCGATTGCTGCCTTAAATGTGGAACAATCTCATCCTCCTCGATGGGTTCTGGTTGTAAAATAGTTTTTCTAGGTTTTGAGGGCTCTGGATGCTGCTCTAGAAACCTGCTGCTGGTTGGACTTTCCAAGTCCATGTCCTGCTCTATTTCTTCAGGTTTTTCAATTTCCTTAACCATATCCTGCCCAGATATCTGGCTCTCCATTGATTCAGGCTTTCTTTCTGTTGAATTGCAACCCAAATCCTCCAGGATCGGCTCTGCCATTAGAATAGTATTTCTAGCCTTTGAACGTGACGACTCTCGTATGGGAATATTTGAATTAAACGAAGCTATATGATCTTTCTCCAAAGGCTCAGCCATTGAAAGAGTTTGATCTTCCCCCAAGGGCTCAGCCATTAGGAGAGTGTGCCTAGTGTTTGGCCGACGAGGTGCCGCTAAAGTTTTGTACTTTTGAAGTGATGGTTCCCTTGGCTGCAGAATGCTCTCATCCTCTTCTATGGCTTCCGACCTGGTTATAGTTCTGGATTTATGCAAGGGATATATAGTTGATTCCTCCTTGGAATAAGGTTGCATTTGCTCTTGTTCCATTGTAGGTGTTTGCCTTGACTTGGTAGCCATCTGGAGGTCATCTGGTGGATCTTTCAGGCTAAAGACAATCTCCTCCTCCATAGGTTCGTCTAACAAAACATTTTTCCTTGCTTTTGATGGTAGTTCCTGGCCTGGGTTTACTATAATTTCATTTTTCAGTTCCTCTGCCACATGAAGTGTGTTCCTCGGTTGGGCATTTATCTTTTCCACAGAAACAGAGTGTAGTTCCGTGGCGGGATAGATGATCTCCTCTTCCATGCTCACCTGCATTAAGAGAGTTTCCCGGCGTTTAGTTTTTATGGTTGCATAAGCTGGAGCTGTGGCCTTTTCCCTGGCATCTTTCGCTCTATCTGTGACCTCCTGATCCAGGGATTCATTTAGATACAAAGTCCGTCGAAGCGGAGGGGGAGCTGTGGCTTTCACGGCAGTCATTGCAGGGAATGATAGTGACTCTTCCATTTCTTCAGGCTGATGAATAGTGCGTCGAGGTGGAGGATGAGTTGTAGCTTTCACTGCAGGAATCGCAGGGAATGCTATTGACAAATCCTCCTCCATTTCCTCATGCTGATGAATAGTGCGTCGAGGTGGAGGATGAGTTGTAGTTTTCCCAGCAGGAATCGCAGGGAATGCTATTGACTGATCCTCGTCCATTTTTTTAGGCTGATGACTGGTGAGTCGAGACGGGGGAGCTGTGGTTTTTACGACAGAATTCGCAGAGAATGCTATTGACAGATCCTCCTCCATTTCTTCATGCTGACGAATAGTGCGTCGAGGTGGAGGATGAGTTGTAGCTTTCACTGCAGGAATCTCAGGGAATGCTATTGACAAATCCTCCTCCATTTCTTCAGGCTGATGAATAGTGCGTCGAGGTGGAGGATCAGTTGTAGTTTTCCCAGCAGGAATCGCAGGGAATGCTATTGACTGATCTTCGTCCATTTTTTTAGGCTGATGACTGGTGAGTCGAGACGGAGGAGGAGTTGTGGTTTTTACGACAGAATTGGCAGAGAATGCCATTGACAGATCCTCCTCCATTTCTTCAGGCTGATGAATAGTGCGTCGAGGTGGAGGATGAGCTGTAGTTTTCATGGCAGGAATCGTGGAGAATGATATTGATGTATCCTCCTCCATTTCTTCTGTCTGATGAATAGTGCGTCGAGGTGGAGGAGCTGTGGTTTTCACGGCAGGAATTGCTGATTGACCCGCCTCTATTTCTTCAGTCTGATGAATAGTTTGCCGAGGCTTAAAGCTGGGCATGGGATGATGAAGGTCTGCCTGCCTGCTTACTGGTCGTTCTATATCCAATTCAGAATAGTCGTAGGTGGTCTCCCTTCGCGTCGAGTTTTTGGAAGTATTTCTGGACTGCGTTTCATCCCCAAGTCGGGCGTGAGCCAAGAAGTTTGTGTTATCCAGCATCATCTCATCCGCCTGGGAGAATCTATATTTACGCTTGTTATCCTTATCCTTCTCTTTATCATTTGGTTTATCCTTAAACTCCTTTTGAACGGGAGCTACAGGTGGCGGGGATATAGCCATGCATTCGCTAAAATTCAGCATTCCCCGTGGCTTGATGCTGCTCTTTATGTCCCGCGTGGGACACCCCTCATCCGTTTCCATTTCCTCCAGGCACAGGCCTTGATAGTAACGTTTCTTCTGGGCCTTGCGATCCGTTGTGGGTGTCTTGGGACCATTTGGAAAGACCTGAATCTGGCCCGCTTCCAACCCGTCGTTTAGTTGACGCAAGTTGATTTTCTTGCTGATACGCTTACCCGATATCATGTCGAGGGGTATTAGCGGGGAATCGTCCGTATAGTTGATGGTGCTATTGGCGCTGCTGGCGCTCTCGAAGGATATATTGGCTTGTGGTTTGAGGTTCCTGTCCGAGGAAACTGTAAATTAAGGAGGATTATGTATTAATTTTCATGAATATTAAAATATTAAATAGCTTTAATTTAAAGTTTTAGCTTTTAGAGGAATATACATAATTTACAAACATGAAAGTAAGATCCTTAAAAATTATGAATTGTAGCAAATAATGCAAAAGGCAAAGCAACATAGATGGGTGAAAGCTTAATTATATTAAATAATAAAAATAAAAAATATTAAAAAAAAATAAATAACTATAAAAGAAATTAACAAAAAATAGGTTTTACTTTGAAATTTCAGATTGAAAAAAAAAACAAGGCTGGATTAAATCGTCTAGACTCTAGAGTTGCGTATGTACCTACTGTACATACTTTACTTTACTTTCCGATTGATATTTATACTGTTTATGTACTATTCCACCTATCATTTAAAGCTTCAAAGTTAAATATAAAGAAAATTAACAAAACACACCATTCAATGAACAAGAAAAGGATATATCCACGACTTCATGTTGGGTCTTGTTCTTGACGGGCTTTTCGGTTTCCCCCGCCTCCAGCTCCATGAAATGTGACTTCTGTGCCGGACAGATGTTCTCCTTATCGTTGGCCATCAAATTCTGCTGAGCATCAAACATTTCTAGCTCAATGTCCTCGGGTTCCAGTTGCCTCTTACTCTGTTGTACGGGATGCTGAGGCGCAGGCACGGCGAGAGTAGGACCAAGTGGCGTGATGTCCATAAAGGAGTCACTCATACAATTAGGTGTGGTATGTATGCTTCTCTCCGTTTCGCTGATGGGTGCCAGCTCCCCGACACTTGCATTGTGGAGAACGGACTTTTGAAATCTGGCTACCAAAGAGCCTGACATTAGATCAAGGGTCTTGTCCATAATCCGACGGCCGTAGAGAGTGTCCTGAAGCCCCTGCCGTTCCTCCTGCGTAAGGGCCGGCGAATCCCGGTCCGCGTCCAGTGTCATGTGGTTTTTCCTTGACATTTCGCAGGGCAAAAGAGTCACATCCACGCTGGTCTGTAGATTCAGCGTGCTATCGATGTGGCTGCGTTCGCAGACGCTGGTTGCCGGTAACGGGATATTCTCCTTTTCCTCACCCCTTGCCGCTTGTGTGCTCGATTTCGATTTCGATCCCGAGCTGTCCTCAGCACCGAGGTGATCGGACACCTCGTACGAGTGGTTCCAGTTCTTGGGCTCCTCCGTGTTCACGAATTCCCTAAAGGCAATGAGTGAGCATCATACATATATGGGATATAGAGATTCCTATGGGCGGTACACTCACCTCACGGACTTCTTTCCACTGAAGCTGATGCGGCGCTTGATCCGCATCGCCGTCGTGTTTGTTTCCTCCTCATTGCTTGGCGCCTTCCGCAGCTGCAATTGCAAAACTTTGAAAGTAAGCAACAAAGATTGTTGGTATTAATTGTTAAAAGCACTTACGGAACTCCTGCGATTGGTTTTATACATGTTTTTATGCTGTTAAATGTTGTTTTCGTTTAAAAAACGACGCCGCCACCTTTGTGTGAATGCCTGTGAGCGTCGTGTCGGCGTTGCCTTGTGAGTGCCAATCGATAGTTTTTGTGAATGTTTTGCAAAATCTGGCAGCACCATGCGTTTTTGATAGTTCGTGAGCCCGAATCGAGCCTTTTTCGGGGTTTTATGGAAATGGAAATAATGGACGAAGATCAGTGAATAGCATTCCCTGCGATTCCTGCCGGGAAAACTACAACTCATCCTCCACCTCGACGCACTATTCATCAGCATGAGGAAATGGAGGAGGATTTGTCAATAGCATTCCCTGCGATTCCTGCAGTGAAAGCTACAACTCATCCTCCACCTCGACGCACTATTCATCAGCCTGCAGAAATGGACGAGGATCAGTCAATAGCATTCCCTGCGATTCCTGCAGTGAAAGCTACAACTCATCCTCCACCTCGACGCACTATTCATCAGCATGAAGAAATGGAGGAGGATTTGTCAATAGCATTCCCTGCGATTCCTGCAGTGAAAGCTACAACTCATCCTCCACCTCGACTATTCATCAGCCTGAAGAAATGGAAGAGTCACTATCATTCCCTGCAATGACTGCCGTGAAAGCCACAGCTCCCCCTCCGCTTCGACGGACTTTGTATCTAAATGAATCCCTGGATCAGGAGGTCACAGATAGAGCGAAAGATGCCAGGGAAAAGGCCACAGCTCCAGCTTATGCAACCATAAAAACTAAACGCCGGGAAACTCTCTTAATGCAGGTGAGCATGGAAGAGGAGATCATCTATCCCGCCACGGAACTACACTCTGTTTCTGTGGAAAAGATAAATGCCCAACCGAGGAACACACTTCATGTGGCAGAGGAACTGAAAAATGAAATTATAGTAAACCCAGGCCAGGAACTACCATCAAAAGCAAGGAAAAATGTTTTGTTAGACGAACCTATGGAGGAGGAGATTGTCTTTAGCCTGAAAGATCCACCAGATGACCTCCAGATGGCTACCAAGTCAAGGCAAACACCTATAATGGAACAAGAGCAAATGCAACCTTATTCCAAGGAGGAATCAACTATATATCCCTTGCATAAATCCAGAAATATAACCAGGTCGGAAGCCATAGAAGAGGATGAGAGCATTCTGCAGCCAAGGGAACCATCACTTCAAAAGTACAAAACTTTAGCGGCACCTCGTCGGCCAAACACTAGGCACACTCTCCTAATGGCTGAGCCCTTGGGGGAAGATCAAACTCTTTCAATGGCTGAGCCTTTAGAGAAAGATCATATAGCTTCGTTTAAATCAAATATTCCCATACGAGAGTCATCACGTTCAAAGGCTAGAAATACTATTCTAATGGCAGAGCCGATCCTGGAGGATTTGGGTTGCAATTCAACAGAAAGACAGCCTCCCATACGAGAGTCATCACGTTCAAAGGCTAAAAATAGAAATACTATTCTAATGGCAGAGCCGATCCTGGAGGATTTGGGTTGCAATTCAACAGAAAGAAAGCCTGAATCAATGGAGAGCCAGATATCCGGGCAGCATATGGTTAAGAAAATTGAAAAGCCTGAAGAAATAGAGCAGGACATGGACTTGGAAAGTCCAACCAGCAGCAGGTTTCTAGAGCAGCATCCAGAGCCCTCAAAACCTAGAAAAACTATTTTACAACCAGAACCCATCGAGGAGGATGAGATTGTTCCACATTCAAGGCAGCAATCGAGGCCAAAGGAACCCATTAAAGAGCAGCTGCGCTCGCATGAAGAGCCAAAAACTGTGTACCAGTCCTTTAAGCCTAGAAAAACAATCATAAAATCCGAACACATAGAGGAGGATGAGATTGTTTCACATAAGCTTCCATCCTATTTAGGAGAACCCATTGAAGAGGATCTGCGCTCGCATGAAAGAGAGCCAACTAATATGTACCAGTCCTTAAAGCCTAGCAAAACCATCGCAAATTCAGAACCCATTGAAGAAACCCAAACACTTCAAGAGCTTAATGAGACCTCCTCGTGGCCATATCGACAGAAAAAATCGAGACAAACTCTTGTCAAGGCTGAGCCAATCGAGGAAGATCCACCATCCACCTACCAACTCCCCCCTCCAGATAAGCCACCACGTTTAAAGTCCAGAAATACTATTCTAGTGTCGGAGGAAATTATTGAGGATTTGAGTATCAAATCAATAAATAAGCCTGAATCCTTGGACTACCAAAGCCCTCAGGAGGCCATGTTGAAGCCAAATCCCCAGGTAATCACTCCCAGTGTCCGAGAAAGTGGCTCCTCCAATGATCGAACCTTCAAAAGCTATGCCGTTGCCACTACCAAGTTTATGAATCTCTCCGGCGACACCACCATTTTTGCCGGTGCCATAGATGTGGATAAGGAGGAGGAGGAGGAGGGCGACGAGATGTAACCACAAAACCAGATAGACAACGAGCAGATAAGCCTGGTTTCCACGCTGGCCGAGGAAACCGCCGAAAACGAACAGTTCGAGGAGCCAGAGCACCAGCCCCCCGACCTCTGCCAGGACCAAAAAACTCCACTTGTTATTGCCGGAAGCAGTGCCTCCTGCAGAAAGTGCAGGAACTGCAATCGTTCCTTGAGCGAGACTAGGCGAAGCAGCGATTCCTTTGTGCTGCCTCAACTGAGTCTCTTCAACTTCACCAAAGAACGTGAACGACTGCGCCGGCAGCGGCTGAAGCCAACTTTTGATGAAATGCAGATGCACTGGCAGATCAAGAGTCAGGAAACGGAAATGAACGAGTCCTTGGACGAGACGAAAGTGGAGGAGAGGCTTTTCCATTGGGACAAAGTAAAGCTAATGCAAAATATCAAGAGCTCAAGGTAATTGCTAATAGTTTAGAAATTGTGTTTTCGTTTAATCGATGTTATTTTCTAAGATATCGAAAAAAAATCGATTAAGAATTGATTTCTTTTCCAGGTCAAAAATATATTAATAATAATAATTAATAAATAGATTTTGAGTTATCGTGTACACCGATTTTCAAAATGCCATTTTTCAGGAGAGCGCTTTAAACATTGTGATTCTCATGCATTTACGAAAAAAAAAATTAAATACCTTACCCCCCCCTTAAATCCAAATTTAAGTGCAACCACCACTGGAACAGGGATTTAGTTTTAACTTCATATACGCTCAATTTTATTTACCGTTAAATCCATTATTAAATCACATGCTTCAAAAGTTCTTAAAGAACAAAAAATAAAAGAGGGGAAAATGCTCAGGCCCTGAATGTATCCTTCTCCTTGCGCAGCTTGAACATGGTCAGAATGGGATCGTCGGCGCCGCCAGCATGCTTCTGCACTGTGGTCTCGTGGACGCGCATAAACGGATTCCAGGACTTCTCCTCGCCGATGGTCGAGGGAACAGTGGGATCCTGCGAGGCACGACGATGTTTGGCCCACTCAATTCGCTCCTGGATCACCGCGTTGTCCGGCTCCACGTGCCGGGCAAAGCTCATGTTCTGCAGCGTATACTCGTGCCCGCAAAAGACCTTTGTGCTGTCCGGCAGAGCCGAGAGCTTGGTGCACAGCGCCTCGTACATCTCCTCGGGCGTGCCCTCAAAGAAGCGTCCGCAGCCGCCCTGGAACAGGGTATCGCCGGTGAAAACGGCTCCCTCGCCGCCGCTGCCATCGGCAGTCGTGACATGGTAGCAAATGTGTCCGGTGGTGTGACATGGCGTTGATAGGCACTTTACATTCAAGCTGCCAATGGAGAAGGTGTCGTCCTGCTTCACCTTGTGGTTCAAGGCGCCGATGCGGTCATCGCCGCCGTACACATCCAGCGCTTGGGCCCACAGCTTCACCAGCTTCTCGTTGCCGCCGGCATGGTCCCAATGGTGGTGGGTGGTCAGCACCTTGTTCAGGGTGACCTGCTCCTCCTGCACCGTCTTGATCACCAGTTCCGGGTCCACGGGATCCACCACGGCAGCCTCACGTGTCTTTTGGTCCACGATCAGATACATGTAGTTGTCCTGCAGGGCAGGCAGGATCTTGATGTCCATGCCCGCCAGCTTTACGTCTTCTAAAGTGCTGTGCATGCCTCTCAAGCCGACTTTTCGGAGTTTTTGAACTAAAAAGAGAACGATTTACAGGTGAGATTGACATACGGAAAGGTCACTGGAACACTGGAACGGGCAAACAAGACAACAAGCTACGATAAAAGAACACAAATGGCGAGCCGCCAGCAGGAGGAGATTAGATTATACACATATGCTTGGATAGATTACGCATGACGAGACTTGGACAGACGGGCACAGCCAGAAATCGCCTTTGCGTGGACCCGGCACCAGAGAGAGACGGCGTCGGAGGAGGAGCCGCCGGCCGCAGGCCCAATCGCAGACTGCTGGACGAACCTCGGAAGTAAGCGGCCGTCAACTGGTTCTCCACGGAGTTGGACACGCTGCGCCACGCGGAGGATAGCATTGCGGCAATGGTGGATTCTACGGATTGGCTAAAGCGGGGGGAGCTGTGCGAGATGAAATAATAGTCTCCAAAAAGTAATTACAGTTGTTTTTTATTATCCGGTGTTAGTGGATGTGACCATAGTAGAATTATAATTCTACTATGGATGTGACCAGTTGCCAGTTCTGGCTATATCTTACCCGATCTGAAAATGGAAAAGCTTTTTTAAGCTTTATAAATTGTATCTTTTAGCTTTGAAAATAGCTTAATTTTAATAATCTTAATAATAAACTAATAAACTAACTGCATTCGTTACATTAACGATTTATTTTTTAAGAGAAATAAATATATTTTTTATTTTACGTGTGCTTTTTTTTATTAAAAATATTTAACATAAAAATACAATCATTATTTAAGGACTTTAAATGGTTTAAATAGCATTTAACTTAAGAATCAATCAACTCTCCGTTTGTCTTTAATTTTTTTTTTATACATTTTTATTATTTTATTATATTTATTATTTTTAATATTTTTTTTTTTTATGAATGACAGAACTATTAAAGCAATTTTTAATGCAATGTTTAAATCAATGCATTAATTTTCATTAAATGTTTTAAACATTTATTTGGTCTTATTTTTTTATAACTAATTATTAATATACATGTTTAGCGGCTTAACGAATTAATAACTTAACCACACAATTTTTGTCTAGGGCGTTTCGATCGCCTTATTTGTTTATTATTTATTTTTTTATGAGTTGAGTTGAGTTTACATTACAAAAATGAGTTAAATAAAGTGCATTGGGTATATTTTCTTAAATTTTGGAACAGTCTGCCACTTGTTATACACCTCCTTTGGGTCCCGGGACGAATGAGTGCTGTTAAATAGGGAAAACTTAGTAAACATCACAGAACAATGGCCTTGACTTACCTAGGGAGATAAGCACGAGCCCGTTTCGCCGCATGATGAGCCAAATAAGCCGGGGTCGGATACGAAACCGAGCGATTGCAGCGTGGAAACATATGGCAGAGGTTGTAGGTCAACTGCTGGATCAAATTAATATCCAGTTTGCCGGTATTCTCAATTACGGTGTAACGCGTCGGCCTAGCCGTGCTCGTGGACTGGTGGCTCACCATAAAGAACTGCACTTCTTTCGGATGGACGATGGAGCTATCGACCACTGTTCCGGGCTCCACGTTGTTATAGTCTTTTCTGGAATTATTGGACTGCGTCGGCTTCGGCTTCGGAAAGAAGCGAGTATGGTGACGCTTCACCACTATTATGCAGCAAATCTTCGGTTCAATGCCGATCTTTTGACATGCCTTATTTATTCCTCCGAGCTCTTCGCATTTGATTTTCTCCAACTGGCCATCGTCCACTCCATCCCTATAGTAGATAATGTGATCGGGATATGAGTTGCGATACTCCCGGTATACACGCAAATGTTCCACCGTTATTGACTCCATATCCTCGATTACCTCCAAAGTGGAGCGCTGCATTCGATGACTGCTATTATAGGAAATACCATAGGGATCATGAGAGGCAACCACGCCCACTATACTGGGTATATTACGTTGATCTGGAGACGGGTGAGTAACATCAGCGCCCAGGAACATAACATTATCGAGCATTGGCACGCCAGAAACGTCTTTAAGCTTGTGATTAATGCCGTTTAGCTTAAAGTTCACCTTTAGCAGGATGTTGGATATTGTTTGGCTATTGTTAAGTTTGCAAATCACAGTATCCTGTTTGATGCACTGCGTCAAAATGCCGTGCTGCAGTTCGGCTTTTTGCTTAATCGCACCGTAAGTAACTCCAAACGGCGGCATGATCACAAAGGCCAGATCGCAATGGTTTTGAAGATTTACGAAGCACTTGTCTAGACTCGTTTCATCCTTAAAGGGGCGTATCTCAGCCTTTTTATCCAAGTTCACGTTCACATTCTGGCTTTGGACAAGCACTTTCTGTTCAAAGTCGGCCACCTGATGGTATGTCATCTTGGGACCTTGAAAGTACACAATCGCCCACTTGTGCGCCTTTGGCTGGGTCTCAAGAAACTGCTTATTGTCCATGCGCCACGATCCGTTTTTAACCAGGCAATACATGCTGTTATGGTACTCCACCTGGGGCGGTGTGAGGGTTCGGGTGTTTACAACTATGAGATTTATATAAACAGAGTTTATACAAACTCCAAGAAGCCGCCAGCCAGATTTGCCAAATAGTAAAAACACTTTAATTATAAATTTAGTTAATTAAACTTCTTTATTTTTCACAACCGCACGCTCTCGTTATCTTTAAGCAATTAAATTCGGGTACGCATGAGCATACGAAAGGAAGCCAAAAAGGAATTAGATAAGTGTGACCTTCTTTTTGGGATTTTAATCACTGTGACTTTTGGTATTTTCAACACGCCACCTCAAAAGTTACACTGATACAAATTACGGATTAACAAAAACATAATTTTATACGAGTGAGTGCATATTCAAATGGTTGTAGTTTCTTTTCTTTTCTTTTTCTCTTTCTCTCTTTCTCTGGGGTCTCTTTCTTTTCTGATCCAGCATTTGCTGCAAAGAATTGGGGAAACCCAGTAAAACCCAATCAGATCAATCAAAAAACATAAATTAACATGATTCACTTATATATATAAACAGCAGTGGTTAGACTAGGAATTATTTTGGTTTGATTATGGTTAATTATATATATATATATGCCAAGAGATCCAGTTTGTCTTGGTTTAAAAAGAAACTCCATATAAAGGTTCAGGCTAAAGGTCCAATTAGCCCCAGTTGGTCTCGCAGTGCAGTGAATCTAGCTGTTGGTAGTGGCTTCGTTAAAATATCAGCCAATTGGAAATCTGTGGAAATATACTTGACGCAGATTAGTTTGTTTTCAATTTGTTCCCTGGTAAAATGATATTTAATATCTATGTGCTTAGTTCTCTTGTGGCAAGTAGGGTTGTTGGCTATACTAATACAACCTTGGTTGTCTTCAAAAATATCTATTGGGCCATTTAATTATACCCTTGCAGGGTATTATAATTTCAGTCAGAAGTTTGCAACGCAGTGAAGGAGACGTTTCCGACCCTATAAAGTATATATATTCTTGATCAGCATCAACAGCCGAGTCGATCTAGCCATGTCCGTCTGTCCGTCTGTCTGTCTGTCCGTCTGTCCGTCTGTCTGTCTGTCCGTCTGTCCGTCTGTCTGTCTGTCTGTTTCTACGCAAACTAGTCCCTCAGTTTTAAAGCTATCTGAATGAAACTTTGCATATAGTCTTCTATATGCTCTCACTGCTATATATGTCGGAACGGGCCGGATCGGACGACTATATCATATAGCTGCCATACAAATGTTTGATAAATTTTTAGAAAAAAAAGTATAACTTGGCTGTTTTTCAATATTTTTGCATCATTTTTGAGATATAGCCATTTTATATTATTCCAGAATTTTGGTAAAAATTTTATGAAAATCGGACGACTATATGATATAGCTGCCATAGGAACGATCGAGAAATTAATAGAAATAAAATTATAGCTTCGTTGTTTTTCAACGCATTTTTATTTACTCTGAGATATACGTTTTTTTTATTATTCTAGAATTTTGGTATAAATTTCATAAAAATCGGACAACTATATCTTATAGCTGCCATAGAAGCGATCGGTAAATGTATAAAATATATAAAGCTGAGAATGTAAAACTGTAACTGTCAAACTGTAAACATAATAAGTATAGGTAAAATGTAATGAAACTCTGTTTTGTGAGTGTTTTCAGCATTTAAATCTATAAAATAAACATCAAAACCAATCTGCAAGGGTATACAAACTTCGGCGTGCCGAAGTTAGCTTCCTTTCTTGTTTTAATTTAATTTCACTTATTAATGACTTTAGCCATAATGCTTCTCTAACACCCTCAAATAAGGCCATATATTCGGCTTCAGTAGATGAAGCAGCAACTGATTTTTGTTTCATAGTATTCCAGGAAATTGAACAATCTCCAAACATTTTAAATATATATCCTGTAGTACTTCTCCTATCAGTCTCATTTCCCGCCCAATCAGAATCGACATATCCTATAAGAATATTATCCACTTTAGGATTCCTTTTAAACGATAACTTTAAGTCAACAGTTCCTTTCAAATATCTTAGAACTCGTTTAAGACATTGCCATAATTCTTTGTTATTATTATTAGTATACCGACTTAAGATACTTATCGATGTACTCAAGTCCGGCCGTGTACACAACATTATGTACATTAAACAGCCAATTAAATTCCTACATGGTGCTTCACATGATTCTTCAGCTTGCAAATCCTCATAATTTAGTTTGCTTGGAAGAGGGGTACTAACTGGATTACAATCTTGCATATTGAATTTCCTTAAAACGTTTTTAATATATGCAGATTGACTGAGACAAATTTGATTATCTTTTCGATCAATTTTTATACCCAGGAAATGTCGTATTTCACATAAGTCAGTCATTTGAAATGTACTTGAAAGATAAGTTTTAAATTTAGACATACTTTCGGAATTACTGGTGGCAATTACCACATCGTCAACATATAATAGTAAATATATATTTTTACTTATATCTCCCTTATCTAAAATATATATACATCGGTCTACTTCTAGATTCTGAAATCCAAAATTTTTAAGTGCATTTTCAAAAACCTCAAACCAGCATCTTGCAGCTTGCTTAAGGCCATAAATAGCTTTATTTAGTTTGCATACTTTATTTCCATCATACTGGTTTAAACCTTTTGGAACCTTCATATAAATTTCATCCTTTAAAGTTCCGTTTAAAAATGCTGTTTTCACATCCATATGATGGATCAGCATATTATATTGATTAGAAAATGCTAAAAGAAATCTGAAACTAGAAATTCGTGCAACAGGTGCAAAGGTCTCATCATAATCCATCATATATTCTTGGGTGAAGCCCCTCGCTACCAGTCTTGCCTTATGTTTTAGTAAGTTACCATTTTCGTCTTGCTTTAAACTAAAAACCCACTTGCAATCTACTATGTTTTTATCCATAGGCCTTTGCACTAAGCACCATGTTTTATTTACAAAATGCGAATTTAGTTCATCTTGAATAGCTTCCACCCACAAGGCTTTGTCATCTCGAAATTTAATTTCCTCATAAGTATTGGGAATTTCACTTAAACATATTTGGGTATTCATAAGACATTTTTCTAAAAATCTATATGATAATTTTGGTTTATCTTTATTTCTCTCACTGCGTCTGACTTGTTGATTTTCATTTTCTTGTATATTATCACCAGCTTCAACTACTGGATCGGTATTCTCGAGACAAGTGGAATTTTCATTTAAGTTTTCACCAGACTTAGAATCTATTGATTCATTCATTTCCTGTGATGGAAAATCTAACTCTTCATTCTCTTCAATTGGAGAATCATGACTTCTGCTAACTTCATTATGTTTTACCACAGAGTCATTTTCATTTAAAGTCATAGAGTTTTGTCCTTTTTCGTCCACCACTACATCTCTAACTATCATAAATTTCCTCGATTCCTCATTCCACAATTTATAGCCATTTGGCTCATACCCGACAAGTATAGTCTTAATAGATTTCTCATCAAATTTTCGCTTACGCACTTTATTTAGTGCGTATACAGTCGATCCAAATACTTTCAAATACTTTAATATTGGCTTCTTTTTATGCCACATCTCATATGGTGTTTTTCTTATATTTTCCAACGCTCTACTTGGGGACCTATTAACTAAATAAGTTGCTGTTAAAACAGCTTCACCCCAAAAACTTTTATTAAGTTTAGTACAGTTAATCATAGAGCGAGCTTTTTCGGTGATTGTTCTAATCATCCGCTCTGCCACACCATTTAATTGTGGGGTATGAGGAACCGTTAAATGATAGCTGATACCTTTTTCTACACAAAACTCACGCATTTCATTAGAGAGGTATTCCCTGCCATTATCAATATATAGGTTTACCATTTTTAAGTTGAAATGAGCCTCACTTTTTGCCACAAAGTCTTTGAATACAAAAAACACATCTGATTTATAAGTTATTAAATACGTCACGCAGTAATGTGTGAACTGATCAATAAATACTACATAGTAGTTTTTATTATCAATAGTTGAGGGCGTAATCGGACCACAAACGTCAGAATGAACTACGAACAATGGGCGATCAATATTTTCTTTGTTTTTAAATTTCTCAAATTTTAGCCTAGATTGCTTTCCGTTAATACACGCCTCACATATTTCATTTTTATTTAGCTGTACGTTTTTAATAAGTTCAACATCTTCAAACAAGCTATTTCGTTTAATTTCTAAGAATTTTCCTACACTAATATGACCTAACCTTTCATGCCACAAGCGATATTCTGCATCATTTAAACTTTTGGATGTATATACTTTTCTACTTAAATAAAATTTCACAATCGGTATATTATACTTACAATACCCTTCAAATGCCAAGTTACCGTCTTTGATTACTTTTATACCATCCGGATTAAACTCGACGGACATTCCAGCATCTAGCATCTTTTTCACGGATAGTAAATTGTGCGGGATTTCCTTGCAATACAGCACATTTTGTAATGTAATGTTTTTCCCGGAACTGTTAAGACTAACTAGTCCTTTCGCAGTAGCATACACAAATTCTCCACGCTTTGCAATCTCAATCGCTACACTCGGATTTATATTCTCATACTCAGAAAATAAAGTTATGTCGTTTACTATGTGATCTGACGCCCCTGAATCTAATATAAAATCTACGCCGTCTGTCTGTTCACTGGAATTAGCTAATTTCATCATAAAAGCAAAAGCACAGTCCGGCTGCGCTGCTGCCATCTGAGTCTGTCTCTCTCTAACAGCTAGGTTCGTCATGAATGCAAACGAGCGTTCTGGCTGCGTTGCTGTTGCCATCTGGGCCTGTCTCTCTCTAACATTACTCTGAGCATGAATATTCTGGTTGCCTCCTGCCTGCCTTTTTAAGAAGAAACAGTCTTTCTTCATGTGGCCTAATTTGCCACAATGAAAACACTTCAGCTTAGGCTTTATCTTATTCGGAAATTGTTTCTTCACAAATTTTAATTTTTTGTTTTTGTTTGTGCTATCCCTAGGCTCTCGATTGCCTATAGCCTGCAACACTTTTGCACTTGTGTCCTTGCCAACTCCTTTTAGTTTAATTTCATGATCAAGAAGCCGAGTCTTTACGAATGCTAATGTTAAACTGTGCTCAGAGAGAGTTTCTATCGCTGTTATTACTCCATCATAGTTAGTTGGAAGTGTTAGCAGCAAATGAGACACTTTGTCCATTTCATCTATTTTCGCTCCCGCTGCAACTAACTCAGTAACCAAATCATCAAATAAACGAAAATGGTTGACTAGCGGAGAGTCACCCTTCAATTTTAAAGCCAGTAATTGTTTGCGTAATGAAAGTTGAGATGCCAGGCTTTTACGCTCGTAAATATTATCCAAATTCTCGAAAATCTCCTTAGCCGAGTTCCCATTATTGGCAAACACTAAAAAAGAGTCACTCAAATATTCTATTATAAGACTCTTTGCATTTCTCTCTGCTCGCTTCACTTCCTCACTTTCTTCATCACTTGGTTTCTCGTCAATTACTTTCAGCAACTCGTTTTCCTCTAATAAAGCCCTAACTCTAAACTTCCATATAGAATACTTTTCCCCGTTAAAAGGTATTATGTTTCTCTTTCCTTTTTCCATCTTCCGAGAAAAATTGCGCTTCTTAGAATTTGTGTTGCTATCCTGCTCTAACACTCGCACTGAAAATGAAAAATGTACGCCAATTTGGTGCGCCGTTATATTTATATGTTATATTTATATGTACGTTGTTCACTTTTTTTTTATTTCACTTTTATTATTTATTAAAAATTATTCTTTAACAATTAAAGCATTTCACTATAGCACTTAGCTGCAAATTGTGACTGGGCCCATAACCTATGAGATTTATATAAACAGAGTTTATACAAACTCCAAGAAGCCGCCAGCCAGATTTGCCAAATAGTAAAAACACTTTAATTATAAATTTAGTTAATTAAACTTCTTTATTTTTCACAACCGCACGCTCTCGTTATCTTTAAGCAATTAAATTCGGGTACGCATGAGCATACGAAAGGAAGCCAAAAAGGAATTAGATAAGTGTGACCTTCTTTTTGGGATTTTAATCACTGTGACTTTTGGTATTTTCAACAACAACAATAAAATCGTTGGCGATGCGGATGCCAAAACGGCTGATGGTCGGGTCCAGGTTGTGCTGGAAGAACTCTAGCAGTTTCATAATCTTTGCCTTTCGCTCCTCGGTAGGTGTGGCGGCAAATCGAATCATCTTGGCCACCTGAGCGGCTCCATCCTTGCGCTGCGACACAGATAAGTGTAAGTGGGAAGGAAGCGCTTGAAAAACTCACAAACAACTCACCTTCAATACCTGACCTCCCTCGATGTCACAGAGCTCGATGGGCAGCATGATATTCTTGGCGGGAGGGCCAACGTGCAGGCAATGAAGCTGCGGAAACTTCAGCTTATAGTTGCGATCCTTGAAATAGTCTGCCACGGTGATCTCCCTGTCATCCAGCAGGAATTTCTCACTGTTGGCCGGAAATTTCGAAAGTCCATTTACTTTGTAGCAACGCGACGAGGTTGCAAAAGATTTTGGAGGATTATACACCACATTGAGGCCCTTTAGAAACGACTCGATGAAGGGGCGCGACTTCTGCTCGATGATTCCCTCTTTCAGGACATTGTTTTGAAACCACTTTAGCACCGACGTGGCCATAGGGAAGGATTTGTGTGATATGTCGACATTTAGGTATGGTCGATCACCCAGTACAATGGCCTGAAAGTGGCCCACCAAGGCTTCGTATCCACCACCCAGCTCCATGCGATCCTCCACTCGAGAGTTTGGGTAGAAGGAGCGACCAGCCCGTATGGCCTTGCTGTGACACGGAGACGCCAGCACAACCTCCAGGCATTGCATTTCCCGCATGGGCTTGTCCGAGATGCTCTTTGACATATAGCTGCGAATAATTTAACTTAAAATACATGTCAGATCACCTTACTCGAGAATCCCTCTTACCTGTTTAGGGAACTTAAGTTGATAACCGGATCAGCTGTCTCCATGATCTCCACAGTATAGCGCAGGCAGCGGCCATGGTTATCTGTCACCTTAAAAGTTTTTGACCAAAGGGTTTAAATACCAGTTCCACGAACCCTTCTTATCTTTACTCACAGTTACTTCCGGATTCTGGGAATTAGTTGGCAACTTATCCGCCGAATAGCAGGAGGCTTTGCCATCAAAGGAGACATTTTTTCCGCCCAATTGATTGAGGCGGAACTGCTCAAACGCCTGTCTGTAGAACTTTTTGGGCCGCTCCGGTTGAATCTTCACGTCGTAGTGAAAGGCCTTTTCCGGCATTTCCTTCATGTCGATCTCCAGATAGTTAACGGCCACCTTGCCGGGTTTGCCTATTGTTCCACGTTTGATGCTGTCAGCTGGTAAACCCTTACCTTGTCCTTGCAGGCCCTGTGGACGTTGTTGGTGACATCCTTTTTGTCCTCCGTGCTGTTCGCCCCCGCTTTTTGGGGCATCTTGGTAGAAACTGCCATGTTGTCCTTTTGGACTTTGCTTTTGCTGCTGAGGTGCTCTCCTCTTTTCCTGGACCTGTCCACGTGGCTGCTGGCCACCCCCCTGCTGATCGCCCCATCTTTGATCTTCCTGAGATCTATGCTGCTGCTGCTGGCTGCTTGAAGGTCCAACATCCCCAGAGTTTATGGATGGGCCTTGTCCCAACTGTGCGCTCGCTACAGTTGTAGATCAAAAATGAAGTACATAAAGTAAATGGAGTTGAAAGTGGATTTGTTCAAAAGAGAAAATCCTAAGCCTTTTAAATATTTATTTTTAAAGATTTCGATCAGTACTTATATTTAATTATGTTAATTATAAATCAAAGAAATTATTATAGAAATCTCTGAATCCGATGGATACAAATTCAAGGGCCTTCCTTTTTTCATCTATAACTAAAGGATACTGGTGAATCACCATTAAACAAAAAGCTTCTAGAAGCCACCCACAGAATTGCATCACAGTTCGAAAAAAAAAATGTGGTGACTCCCCGGAATAGTGTTATCTACTTTTTTTGTTATCAATAATACTGACCTTGTGGTAGTGGAGGGTTGGGTTCGGGAACCTTCTTTTTCTCTTCCCGTGGCTTATATTCTGAAAGAGTTTAATAATTAAAAAAAAAAAAAATGCATATTATTCATTTATATCACCACAAGTCAACTCACTATTTATCTTTCCCATCTCATAGATTTTCTATTTTATTTTGTTTTGTTTTAAATTTTACTGAAATTTGTAAAATAATTGCGGTATGTACATGCAACACTTGCAAAGGTTCGAACTGGAATGATATTGACATTCTGATGTAGAGTCCATCGGAACCAAAGCTTTTGTTGGTTAACTCTTTGGTTGCATTTTAAAAGCTTTTTGGTCAAAGATGAAAGTTACCACCTTGGCCAGGTGAAGTCAAAGAAAACAAGCTAAGATTATAGGTTGAAGCAATCGCTTGCATTTAATAAGAAAAACTTATGCGAAACTATTCATTAATTCAAGATAAAACATTTTAAGAATCATTATAATCATACAGGCGTTTATATTATAAAAGAAATATAGCACAGATTAACATGGTCTAGAAACACTCGACACCGGATTCACATTAAAAATTAACCTTCCAATTCCAACAAATCACAAAAACCCGACTTTAGTATACCTGTGCAATTAACACTCATAGCACTAGCATTGAGATATTCGTTTCGAACTCAAATGGTAAGCTTTAAAATGTATTTAAGGCCATTCCATATCCCCCCTAGTTGTCAGTTAGATTTGAAAGAAAACTTAAAACAATCCCGAAACGAACCCAAAAATCCAATGTCCGAGACAACAGATCCCAATAACTCCACCTCCAAGTCGAATCTGATTAAAATGCACCATGTGGGCGTGACGGCGAAGATGCAGTCCCCGCTGAAGATACTGCCTCGGATGAACTCATCCAGCGACTCGGATGCATATCAACATGCGGCCACACAATATAGCATTTTCAAGACCGATCGAGGCGAAGACATGTCCGAAACTACGGTGGCCCGAAGCTCCAGTTCCCCACAAACGCTGTACGAGATGCACGCGGAGCCGGAAAAGAGTCTGCTCCAGCAGTCAAAGGGTAAGCCCCAACGGATCGAGTTCCAGCGCTACAACAAAAAGCGTCCCCACGTGGTTGTGCCAAAGCGTTCGGCTCCACACTTGAAGGAGCGCTCCAAGTCTCACAAAGCCTCGCAGATGCCCAAAGTGGGACTGCTGGGCCGTCTGTTGCAGTCGCTGGACAAAATGTGCAAGTGCCAAAATCAACAGAAGGCCCTTATCGATGACTTGCCGGAGCCGCTGTGGAATCGCAAAGAGGAAACCCGGCATACATGCATCGGCATCTATCCCTTCGAGCATGGCTGCGCCGAATATCTGAGCACAACGGACACACATCCCAAGATCAATTCCATTGTCCTGGCGGATCGGGCCACCACCTATGCCACCCACTTCTGGGCGGAGCTGTTTGGTCTGCTCCACATAGCCGTGGCCTTTGTGGTGGCCTTCATCCTCCAGAGCTACCGTTTTGTGCTCTACTCCCTGGTGAACACTTTGATTGTGGGACTCCTACACATGACCTCGGATTACCTGGTGAAACCATTGTTAACCATGATGTTTAATGGTTACCTCCAGCCCCCCTTGATTTTTCTCTACAATATTCTGTGCTCGGTGCGGGATATCCTGGAGCCGGTGGCTGAGACTATCAATAACTTTATGAAACCCTTGGCCACAGTGGGGGGTAGTGTGCGATTGGCGGACGTTAACTATCGCCAGATACGGCGAATTGCTAAGGATGTTTGAGTTTGATTTTACCGTGCTTAAATTGTTAATTTTGTTAGTTTGTTAATTAGTTATATTGTTTCTTTATAGTTCATTAATGTTGTTTCATGTCTGTTGTTATTAAAAATATGAAATCCTGTATAATACTAATGTTAATATCAAATGGAGGCTGAGACTTACCCCAGTAAAAGAAAAAACAGTATGACTATGACTCATCGTTGGCTAATTCCTTTGAGAGTAGGGAGTCCTACGGCTTATCCAGATGTTTGAGATGGTCAAATAATGTTTTAATAGTTTTTTAGCCACTGTCACTATAGGTCAGAACGAGACGAAAGCTGCCGACCGACTGAAGGAGGTGCGAGAGAGAGAGAGAGAGAGAAGAGAGAGACAGAGAGGGAGAGAGATGGGAGAGAGAGAGAGAGAGAGAGAGAGAGAGAGAGAAGAGAGAGACAGAGAGGGAGAGAGATGGAGAGAGAGAGAGAGAGAGAGAGAGAGAGAAAGGGAGAGATAGATAGAGAGAGATAGATGGAGAGAGATAGATAGAGAGAGCTAAATAGATAGAGAGAGAGAGAGAGAGAGTAAGAGAGAGAGAGAGAGAGAGAGAGAGAGAGAGACAGACAGACAGGGAGAGAGATGGAGAAAGAGAGATAGATAGAGAGAGAGAGAGAGTAAGAGAGAGACAGACAGGGAGAGAGAGAGAGTAAGAGAGAGACAGACAGGGAGAGAGAGAGAGAGACAGGGAGGTATGTTTATTTTAAATATATAGATCCACAAGATATAACAATAAAATATAATATAATTATAAATAAATATAGAAATAAGAAATATAATTCGAAACTTTAAGGCATTTTAATCGCTTCCAAAATGAAAAGTTTAAACTTAGCTTATTTACTTCAACTATGGCAGTAAAAACCCCGTTTCCATTTGAAATCCGTTCCACTTTCATAATCCACCATCCCTGGTGTTTCGATTCCAACTATTCCTACAGGGGCGGAGCCATTACAACCCCTAAAATTTCAACAAGTTCTCTCAGCTACGACAATCAACGCACACAATATTACGCACATTCCAAAATCCAGATCGGATTACATTGTTTTTCTTGTTTCACAGAATTTGTAGTCATGGTGACAAACACACACACACACACCTTCAACTTAAGGGTTGGTGCGGCGCTCAATTACGTTGAATGCAACATTTATGATTTATTTGCTCATTTTGCGGCCAGGGGAAAAGCATATGTTCAAAATAAAAAATACAAAAAAAAAGTATACTAATTGTGTCCCCAGAGCATTTAATTTGTACAATTTTAGGTTAATGAAGGCGCTAGAAAAACCGATTTTTTTAGCACACCCATTTGTTTAGGTTTAAAGTTGAGATGGATGAGAAAAGGATATTTTAAATAACTTAATATTGATATTTAACCCTTAAAAAAATATAAATCTGAAAGAATAATGTAATTTTCCTTTTAGCCAAAATCATTTTAAGGACTTAAACATCAGGACACCCTTCCATTTCAGGTTCCATCAGTAAAACCAACTTATGAATGGTCTCTTCTTGATTTTATCTTATCAACATCCTTTCACCTTCTATCAATTCCAAAATAGTCAGATTTTCCAAGAACTCAGGGCATTATATTTACAAGAAAAAAAAATATGTAAAACTGATCTACAAGAATGATTGCCATCAAGGGGCTTCAGTTTGCAATTCCAGTTAAGTTTTCATTTTCAATGGAAGTGTCCCATTCAAAAGGTAAACACTACCATTAATTACCCTATGTACATATTCATGCAGTCACCTTGTAAATACACAAATAGTTGGAGTGGAAAAAATAGTTGTATTTGTGTTATTTATTGGCTGCTTGGAGAGGGAAGCATCAGCGAAGCTTTCATTAATGAGAATAATGAGCTAGTTGTTGCCAACGAAGGATCGTCTTACACGGCAATGGAACCGGTGGAGGAAATTGGACTACTCATAGTCACTCAGCCTGCCTGCCCGCCCAATTATCTGTGGAAATTGTTTTCCCCAAGTATCTGGGCATATGTTTAAAATTAATGAAGGAAACTCACGAGGCATTGATTGATTTGGCGGCAACAAAAGATTATTAATTGGATTGTCATCTGGATGTATCTTGAAATATTTTTGTTAGCTTTGCTTATTAGTTAAAGTTTTTTTAACAAGAAATACAAAAATAAAAGGGTTATATTACCATAATTTAAGATAAATAGAGTGAAGATTACATATAAAAACTTAGATTAATCAAAGAAAACTTTAGTTATTCTTAGTTGCCTCACAAAACCTTAAACTATGCTTAAATCCTTTATAATTTAACTATTTCTAGCTCTGCTTTTTTATTATTTTAATATTTAAAGTGTCTACAAACTACTATTAATTGGATTGTCCTGAGATTTCCCCATAAATATCCATTTGCTGGCTACGCGTAACACCCAAAACACCACTCGATTTTTCATCGAAAAGGTGCGAAAATCATTTGGCCTCGCCAGACAAAGACTCTCCCACACTTAATCCCGTCGGTTGGCCCATTATTGTGTGATCGACAGGCGGATAAGGGAATCCTACGCATGAATGGGAGCAACAGCATCGGGACAAGGTGACACCTTACCATACAAAGCGATTTTGTTGGGAATTTTGGGATTACAGATGGTAAGCTGTTTTCTAGGCTGCTCTATTTTCTATTCTCGCTGGTATTTGGGGGATTAACCGGGGCTCTTACTCCTCTGGAATGATGACGTTTGCTAAATATCCTCTCGAGTGTCCTGTCTCTTTTTGCGAGAAGTTAAGCAATTTGTCGAACGTCGACAATGAAACAATGCCCTAGTACAATGGAAAACCATTGAAAAGCAATTCAAAATCTCGGGGCTGGCCAGCCACAAATTGTTATGCAAGAAGTTACAAGTAAAATGTACAATTTGAGAAGAACTTGACGGAGTTTTCATATGGAAAATTGAGTAATAGCCAGAGATTATCGCAAAGTGACCTGAAAATTCCGAGTATATTTGAGCAAAAAGAATTATAATGCTGGATGATGCAAAAATGTTGGTTGGAACCGAGCCTGAAATGTGAGAGGAGCTACTTAGTTGGCAGGAAGTGATCATACAATAAGCGGATTACGACAAGTTGAGGAAGAAGAGATGTAAATTTATATAAGAGAAGGAAACTAGAAAATAACACAAGAAGAATATTAATGTAATATTATTGAAACATGAAATAATAAAGAGAAAATGATTGACAAATTATTGACCATTAACTTGGACTGAAATGATTAAAATATAATTATGAATATTAATAAATAATATAAATAGTATTTTATAACTTTTGGAAAATGTTGTACAAATTAGGTAAATTATCTCCAAAGGTAATACATGTTTAAAATATTTTTATTTTGAAAAATATTTTATATTTTTTATTTTGAAAAATATTTTATATTTTTAATTTTGAAAAATATTTTATATTTTTTATTTTGAAAAATATTTTATAGGACATCATTTTTCTAGTTTTATATTTATTGATCAGTAAAATTTAGTCCTCACTTTAACGAATTTTGAGTTTTTAAAATATTTATACGGAATATTAATTAAAAAATGTGTATTTAACAAATATTTAACTAAGAAGTAAGAATTTAAAAACTGATTACCAAACTCCACATAAGTAATACAATCCCTGATTTACAATTTATAACTATATTTCAACGTAATATCCTTATTCCTGATTTGTTGAGTGTACAGCCTTAAATCTTTCTTTAAAAATCACATAAAAACCAACAAATTTCTACAACTTTATCTTCTTAATCCTTATCTCAGTTTCTTATATTTTTATGTGTTTTTTTCTAACTTTTAAAGCGTGCAGCTCCAACTCTGAGTTGCATTCATGCGCTTGCATTATTTAGGAAACAGACACCAGACGACCGAAAGAAAAAATCTGCTTGATCAGCCAAACACGATAGTGTGGGAACCAAAAGACGCGTTTGCCAACAAGCTCTAAAAAAATAATATAAAAAAGCTTTGTTTTGACAGCTCGGAAGCATTCGTTAAGTCCTGCCACGTGATTTTAATAATGGAATTAGTTCGGCTGAGATTACAATCCTTTCACTGCGGTCAATTAGAGGGCACACCTCCAGCAACCCGAGGGTGTTGCCAGGCTACAGAGAGCGAGGATGGAAAGGGAAGTTGGGAATTAGTTGGTGTCCAAAAAAGTTCAAGGAACTAATTATACTTTTAATTATTTTATTTAACAAAAATTAATAACCTCTGTATAAATATATATAAATAAGAAAATAACTTTAAATGGTAACAAAGGATAGAGTACACAAGACGCTTACCTCACGATAAGGTAATCCTCCAATAAGTAACTCCTAATTTTAACCAAGAAATACATTAATTTTTGTAGACCTCCAAAATAATATTGTTGATAAACCCCCCGATAAATGGTCCTAATCTGTAATAACCTTCAACACCTGTGTCTCAGGACAAGCACCGGGAAGAGGGCATGTGAATTGAGGGGATATAGCATAGTGATAATGCTCGGGGTGACGGCGTTGATGTTGGCTGTGACAAATCTGGGTTTTTGGGACTGCGTCGAGGGGATTTGCGAGTGTGACGAAATCGTCAACCCTCCCAATTTGATGCTTAATGAATTCCCAGCGACAACAAACAGAATGCGAGTGCGAGTGCTCCTGTTTCTGTCCTGGTTCCTGTTCCTGGGGCAACGCAATTGTTTGGCCTTTTTGTGGATTGTCACCTTTGTCATGTCACTTTTATTTCACTTTTATATTCCCTCAATCCATTCCGCGCTGAATGCAGTCGAGGAGCGTTTTGTAATTGAAATTTGATCCCATTAGATGAGCAGCAGCAGCAGCATCCCAGCAAAGGAGGAATTTCTCAGATCCCAGCCTCAGTCGAGCATCAAATTGCAACGAGTCTGACTTTAAATACCCAATGCAACCCAGAGTAAAAGTTCTTTATTAATTTTGTTTTATTAATGCATCAATTTTTGGGGAAAGAAACGGTGATTTTTTCTGATTTTGTAAAGTAATC